TGTAAAAATTATAGAGGATTAAGTTTACTGAGTATACGAGAAAAAGTGTACGGTAGGGTTATAATTGAAAGAATTAGAGGTAAGACAGAATGTAGGATTGCGGATGAGCAAGGAGGTTTCAGAGTGGGTAGGGGATGTGTAGATCAAGTGTTTACATTGAAGCATATATGTGAACAGTATTTAGATAAAGGTAGGGAAGTTTTTATTGCATTTATGGATTTAGAAAAGGCATATGATAGAGTGGATAGCAATGTGGCAGATGTTGCAAGTATATGGAATAGGTGGTAAGTTATTAAATGCTGTAAAGGGTTTTTATGAGGATAGTGAGGCTCAGGTTAGGGTGTGTAGAAGAGAGGGAGACTACTTCCCGGTAAAAGTAGGTCTTAGACAGGGATGTGTAATGTCACCATGGTTGTTTAATATATTTATAGATGGGGTTGTAAAGGAAGTAAATGCTAGGGTGTTCGGGAGAGGGGTGGGATTAAATTTTGGGGAATCAAATTCAAAATGGGAATTGACACAGTTACTTTTTGCTGATGATACTGTGCTTATGGGAGATTCTAAAGAAAAATTGCAAAGGTTAGTGGATGAGTTTGGGAATGTGTGTAAAGGTAGAAAGTTGAAAGTGAACATAGAAAAGAGTAAAGTGATGAGGGTGTCAAATGATTTAGATAAGAAAAATTGGATATCAAATTGGGGAAGAGGAGTATGGAAGAAGTGAATGTTTTCAGATACTTGGGAGTTGACGTGTCGGCGGATGGATTTATGAAGGATGAGGTTAATCATAGAATTGATGAGGGAAAAAAGGCGAGTGGTGCGTTGAGGTATATGTGGAGTCAAAAAAACGTTATCTATGGAGGCAAAGAAGGGAATGTATGAAAGTATAGTAGTACCAACACTCTTATATGGGTGTGAAGCTTGGGTGGTAAATGCAGCAGCGAGGAGACGGTTGGAGGCAGTGGAGATGTCCTGTTTAAGGGCAATGTGTGGTGTAAATATTATGCAGAAAATTCGGAGTGTGGAAATTAGGAAAAGGTGTGGAGTTAATAAAAGTATTAGTCAGAGGGTAGAAGAGGGGTTGTTGAGGTGGTTTGGTCATTTAGAGAGAATGGATCAAAGTAGAATGACATGAAAAGCATATAAATCTATAGGGGAAGGAAGGCGGGGTAGGGGTCGTCCTCGAAAGGTTTGGAGAGAGGGAGTAAAGGAGGTTTTGTGGGCAAGGGGCTTGGCCTTCCAGCAAGCGTGTGTGAGCGTGTTAGATAGGAGTGAATGGAGACGAATGGTACTTGGGACCTGACGATCTGTTGGAGTGTGAGCAGGGTAATATTTAGTGAAGGGATTCAGGGAAACCGGTTATTTTCATATAGTCGGACTTGAGTCCTGGAAATGGGAAGTACAATGCCTGCACTTTAAAGGAGGGGTTTGGGATATTGGCAGTTTGGAGGGATATGCTGTGTATCTTTACATGTGTATGCTTCTAAACTGTTGTATTCTGAGCACCTCTGCAAAAACAGTGATAATGTGTGAGTGTGGTGAAAGTGTTAAATGATGATGAAAGTATTTTCTTTTTGGGGATTTTCTTTCTTTTTTGGGTCACCCTGCCTCGGTGGGAGACGGCCGACTTGTTGAAAAAAAAAAAAAAATCTCATATACAAATATAGGAATAGCAGAGAAAATAATATGATATTCAACAAAGCTCTGGGTATTGTCTCAGTTGTCAGGTAATGAAAAGTATTCCTTTGCTATAATGATACACATAAACAGAACAGTAAGTAACTTCTCCATGTGCCTTTTAATCTTCTCTCTTACTGTATGGCATAACAGCATATGATTATCTTTACCATTTCTTGCTTTCATGGGACAGGAAGGCATTCACTCAAAATGGGTGAAAAAAATAATGTTGAAGAGAACATTAAAGATATATAATTAATATAACTTAAAGGTAGTAGGTTGGTAGACAGCAACCACCCAGGGAGGTACTACCATCCTGCCAAGTGGGTGTAAAACGAAAGCCTGTAATTGTTTTACATGATGATAGGATTGCTGATGTCCATTTTTCAGTCTCATAAACATGCAAGATTTCAGGTACGTCTTGCTACTTCTACTTACACTTAGGTCATACTACACATACATGTACAAGCATATATATACACACCCCTCTGGGTTTTCTTTCTAGTTCTTGTCCTTGTTTATTTCCTCTTACCTCCATGGAAAAGTGGAACAGAATTCTTCCTCCGTAAGCCATGCGTGTTGTAAGAGGCGACTAAAATGCCAGGAGCAAGGGGCTAGTAACCCCTTCTCCTGTATATATTACTTAATGTAAAAGGAGAAACTTTCGCTTTTCCTTTTGGGCCACCCCGCCTCGGTGGGATACGGCTGGTTTGTTGAAAGAAGAAAAAGAGATAAGACAGACAGTAGGATTGCAGATGAGCAGGGAGGCTTAAGAATGGGTAGGGGATGTGTAGATCATGAGTTTACATTGAAGTATATATTCTTTCTTTCTTTCAACACATCGGCCGTATCCCACCAAGGCAGGGTGGCCCAAAAGGAAAAACGAAAGTTTCTCCTTTTACATTTAGTAATATATACAGGAGAAGAGGTTACTAGCCCCTTGCTCCCGGCATTTTAGTCGCCTCTTACAACACGCATGGCTTACGGAGGAAGAATTCTATTCCACTTCCCCATGGAGATGAAGTATATATATGAACAGCATTTACATAAAGGTAGGGAAGTTTTCATTGCATTTATGGATTTAGAAAAGGCATATGATAGAGTAGATAGGGGAGCTATGTGGCAGATGTTGCAAGTGTATGGAACAGGTAGTAAGTTACTAAATGCTGTAAAGAGTTTTTATGAGGATAGTGAGGCTCAGGTTAGGGTGTGTAGGAGAGCAGGAGATTACTTCCCAGTAAAAGTAGGTCTTAGACTGGGATGCGTAACGTCACCATGATTGTTTAACATATTTATAGACGAGGCTGTAAAAGAAGTAAACGCTAGGGTGTTGGTGAGACTGGTGGGATTAAATTATAAGGAGTCAAAAACAAAATCCTAGGTAGTAGATTGGTAGACAGCAACCACCCAGGCAGGTACTACCATCCTGCCTAGTGAGTGTAAAACAAAACCCTGGAATTGTTTTACATAATGATAGGATTGCTGGTGTCTTCTTTCTGTCTCATAAACATGCAAGATTTCAGGTACATCTTGCTACTTCTACTTACACTTAGGTCACACAATACATGCATGTACAAGAATTTACATACACACCTCTCAGGGTTTTCTTCTGTTTTCTTACTTGTTCTTGTTTATTTCCTCTTATCTCCATGGGAAAGTGGAAAAGAATTCTACCTCCGTAAGCCATACACGTCATATGAGGCAACTAACATGCCAGGAGAAAGGAACTAGTAACCCCTTCTCCTGTATATATAACTAAATTTAAAAGGAGAAACTTTCATTTTTCCTTTTGGGCCACCCTGCCTCGGTGGGATACGGCCAGTTTGTTGAAAGAAGAAATACAAAATGGGAGTCCACACAACTACTTTTTGCTGATGATACTGTGCTTTTGGGGGATTCTAAAGAAAAGTTGCAAAGGTTAGTGGACGAGTTTGGGAGGGTGTGTAACAGTAGAAAGTTGAAAGTGAACATAAGGTGATGAGGATATCAAATGATTTAGATAAAGAAAAACTGGATATCACATTGGAGGGAGGGAGTATGGAAGAAGTGAATGTTTTCCGATATTTGGGAGTTGATTTTTCAGCAGATGGGTTTATGAAGGATGAGGTTAACCACAGAATTGATGAAGAAAAAAAGGCAAGTGGTGCGTTCAGGTATCTGTGGAGACAAAAAAATGTTATCCATGGAGGCAAAGAAGGGAATGTTTGAGATTATAGTGGTACCAATAGTCTTGTATGAGTGTGAAGTATGGGTTGTAAATGCTGCAGTGAGGAGGCGGCTGGAGGCAGTGTAGATGTCCTGTCTAAGGGCAATGTGTTGTGTAAATATTATGCAGAGAATTCATAGTGTGGAAATAAAGAGGTGTGGAGTTACTAAAAGTATTAGTCAGAGGGCTGTTGAGGTGGTTTGGTCATTTAGGGAATGGAACAAAGTAGAATGACTTGCAGAGCATATAAATCTGTAGGGAAATGAAGGCGGGGTAGGGGTCATCCCTGAAAAGATTGGAGAGAGGGGGTAAAGGAGGTTTAGTAGGCAAGGGGCCTGGACTTCCAGCAAGCATGTGTGAGTATGTTGGATAGGACTGAATGGAGACGAATGGTTTTTGTGACCTGACGAGTTGTTGAAGTGTGAGCAGGGTAATATTTTGTGAAGGGATTCAGGGAAACTGGTTAGCTGGACTTAAGTCCTGGAAATGGGAAGTACAATGCCTGTACTTTAAAGGAGGAGTTTGGGATATTGGCAGTTTGGAGAGACATCTAAACTGTCGTATCTGAGCATCTCTGCAAAGAGTGATATGTATGAGTGATGGTGAAAGTGTTGAATGATGATGAAAGTTTCATTTTGGGTCACCCTGCCTCAGTGGGAAATGGCCATGTTAAAAAAAAAAAAAGTTAAACCCATTCTTTAATAACACTTTCTGTACTCAGCATTGTGAAAGCTAGTACAGTACCACTACACTGGCAATATACTGTAGTCAGCAGTACTTCCACTATTTTGTAGACTAGGTGCAAAATATTCTGAGTGAAATGTCCTATAATGTAAATGTTTCCTTCTTTCCTAAGTAAATACTTCCACTTTCTCTACTGTTATGTACCCAATTAATAATACATCATTGAAATGCTCATCAGTTTTATTCTACATGTTCCATACATTGCCCACCTTCTAACCTTTCCTCTTTCTCCTTCCCTCAATTTCACAACTGTCTTTAATCACTATCATACCTCTCTCTTAGTACCACACTATTCATGTTCCTAAGGACAGAGAAGCAGCCAGTTAGCAAAAGAATAACTAAATGCAGTAATAAATGAGTGAGGATATATTTATACCTAGATACAACTGGGAGGCATGTTGTGGCATCATAGAAGACAGGGATAGGAACACCCCATACACGCTGACGGGAGATACACCAATAAGGTCGTCTCTCCAAAAGGCCAGTCATCCCTGCTTGGACACTACTAGGTAGGACTGATACATCTTTGAGGGCTGTCTAGGAAATAATACTTATATTAGACAAAATTATTATTTATCTACCAATTTTTGTACAATAGTGATACATCCCACAACTAATAAATTTAACATTCAGATTTCTTTCAATTCACTTACAAGTTCAATGCAAGTTCAAAATCAATTAATAAGATAGAGACTGTATCTAACATTAACTACACACTGATCCTACAAAGTAGCTTCCCTCCTAATGTCTCTGTCTTTTAAAAATGTCTAGGAGTAAACACATTATCCATGAAGTGATAATTGCTTCTAAGATTTGACAATATAACAGCTTGGTTTCTGCAAAACAGAGCAAATTTAAAACTGTCCAACCCTTCTAGGCAACCTGTTCACACTTCATTTCATTGACTAAGAGTCAAGAATATCAGCAAATGTTTCTGCAGTCAAATTAACAAAGCAGATAGCTTTAGATTTAATTAAAAAATATAAAGTAGCCAACAGCACCAACTAATCAGGAAATCAAGACGTATCTTGCTCACTTTCTAATTGCATGATTGCATTTGAAACTGATACAAAAACTACAGACTAAATATTACAGGAATACACAGAACATCTTACCAGAGCTTTCCCTTTTAAATTCTCAGTGTTGATGAACCACTGCTTTGATGCTCTAATAATTACTGGTTTCTTTGTTCTCCAGTCATAAGGATAAGAATGAGTGAAGTTATCTCTGGACAACAAGACTGATGGACCTCCAGACCCACCTGTCGCCACTGTCAGAAATATAAGAGAAACATGAACACCAAACATAGTCAATATAAAATGTAAAGATCATTTAAATACTGGTCCAGTAACAGAAAACATCTAAGTAAAGAAACAACACAAAATTACAGATGTACCAGTAAGTGTTGGGTGAGAGGGAGGTGATGCATAAGAAAAGGACAAACAGATTAGCATGGAAAAAGAATTGAAACTGCATAGCTAGAATAGATTTTGTGAAGGATAGCTTGCTCCATGAAGAACAAATATTGAATTAATTTCAAATTATCAGAAATTAAGGTACATATTTTTTTTATTTAACACATCAGTTGTTTCCCACCAAGGCTGGGTGATCCAAAAAAAAAAAAAAGAAATATTTTTCACTGTCATTCACTCAATCACTGCCTTGCCATAACCATGCTGACATCACAGCTCAGCTAACCTTCTGAACAGCAACATTCTCTACATCAGAATGTAGGCACTGTACTTTCCACCTCCAGGACTCACTGTCCCTGAATCCCGACATAAATGTAACCTTGCTCACACTTCATTAACATGCCAAATCATAAAATCCACATGACTCCACTCACTCCTATTCCTTCCCTCCAACCCTTCCTGGGATGACCCTTTCCCTCAATCCCTGATTCATATAAGAACATAAGAAAGGAGGAGCATTGCAGTAGGCCTACTAGCCCATGCTAGGTCTAAGTTACACTCACCACACTTACTCATGTACTTGTCTAACCTTATTTTAATGCTACTCATCCACAACTCAATACCAAACCAATGCTTTCCTATATCCTTTCTAAATCTACATTTTCCAACTTGAACTCATTGCTGCAAGTCCTGTCTTGGTTAGATATTGTTGGCATGTTATTGATATCCCCTTTATTTATTCCTGGCTTCCATTTATACACTTCAATATATTTCCCCCTAATTCTGTGCCTTTCTAGAGAATGCAGATTCAGTGCCCTCAGTCTATCCTTGTAGGAAAAATTTCTGATACACGAGATCAACTTTATCATCCTTTTCTGTATGTTTTCCAGCATGTTTATGTCCATTCTGTAATACAGTGACCAGAACTGCACAGCATAATCTAAATGAGACCTTACCAACAACACACAGAGTTGAGGTATAGCCTGATGAATCCTGTTGTTTATACTTCTTGATATGAAGCCAAGAATTCTATTAGCTTTATTGCCAACACTTATGCACTGTTGTCATTTCTTTAGATTACTAACCAAAACTCCTAAATCTTTTACCCATTCAAAGTGATTGATATCTACAATGTTAAGTTTATAAGGCTAAGAACTGAACATTAGTCTACATTAAACTTTATCTGCCATGTCTCCAACAACTGCATCAACCTATCCAGATTTTCAATGTTCTCATAGCAGTCATGCCAACCACACATAAGATTTTTTTAAATGTCAACGAAGAAAGGGAGGCGGTCATTTCATGCACTGGCCAGGGAGGTATAACATCTTTTAGGAGTGAACAAGAGCAGGATGCGATTGTGGGGGAGGTACGTGAGGCATTACGTAGAATGAAAAGGGGTAAAGCAGCAGGAACTGACGGGATCATGACAGAAATGTTAAAAGCAGGGGAGGATATAGTGTTGGAGTGGTTGGTATTTTTCTTAAATAAATATATGGAAGAGGGGAAGGTACCTAGGGATTGGCAGAGAGCATCCAGAGTTTCTTTATATAAGGGGAAGGCGGACAAAAGAAATTGTAAAAATTATAGAGGAATAAGTTTACTGAGTATACCAGGAAAAGTGTACGGTAGGGCTATTACTGAAAGAATTAGAGGTAAGACAGAGAGTAGGATTGCGGATGAGCAAGGAGGCTTTAGAGTGGGTAGGAGATGTATAAATCAATTGTTCACATTGAAGCATATATGTGAACAGTTTTTAGATAAAGGTAAGGAAGCTTTCATTGCATTTATGGATTTAGAAAAGGCATATGATAGAGTGGATATGGGAGAAATGTGGCAGATGTTGCAAGTATACGGAATAGGCAGTAAGTTACTAAATGCTGTAAAGACTTTTTATGAGGAAAGTGAGGCTCAGGTTAGGATGTGTAGAAGAGAAGGAGATTACTTCCCGGTAAAAATAGGTCTTAGATAGGGATGTGTAGTGTCACCATGGTTGTTTAATATATTTATAGATGGAGTTGTAGAAGAAGTAAATGTGAGGGTGTCGGGGAGAGGGGTGGGATTAAATTATGGGGAATCAAATACAAAATGGGAGTTGACACAGTTACTTTTTGCTGATGATATTGTGCTTATGGGTGATTTTAAAGAAAAGTTGCAAAGGTTAGTGGATGAGTTTGGCAGGGTGTGTCAAGGTAGCATGTTGAAACTGAACATAGATAAGAGTAAGGTGATGAGAGTATCAAATGATTTAGATAAAGAAAAACTGGATATCACACTGGCGAGAAGTGTCAGCATAGTTGCTGATCCCCTGTATATGTATATGTTATCTGAGTATCATAGTTAGTACCATCCATAATTTTTACATACATGACCCCTTGCTAGGCCCAGTGACTAGTTTATGTGATGTCACATGATGCCGCATGAGTGTGTGGGATGCGCTGCATTGGCCTCAGTTCCCCGTAGTCCTAGCACACAGGACAGGCAGTTTGGGCTCTCCTTTCTCACACTCTGCAATATAGTGTTACCAACCAACAAGTGTGTTTAACTCCAACCATCAAATCTCCACAAACCTTCTCACAGAAGGAGTAAGGAGTATAAACCCATCAGCAGATGGGTTTATGAAGGATGAGGTTAACCATAGAATTGATGAGGGAAAAAAGGTGAGTGGTGTGCTGCGGTATATGTGGAGACAAAAAAATGTTATCAATGGAGGCATAGTATAGTAGTACCAACACTCTTATATGGGTGTGAAGCTTGGGTTGTAAATGCTGCACCGAGGAGGCGGTTGGAGGCAGTGGAGATGTCCTGTCTAAGGGCAATGTGTGGTGCAAATATTATGCAGAGAAGTCAGAGTGTGGAAATTATGAGAAGGTGTGGAGTTAATAAAAGTATCAGTCAGAGGGCTGAAGAGGGGTTGTTGAGCTGGTTTGGTCATTTAGAGAGAATGGATCAAAGTAGAGTGACATGGAGAGCGTATACATCTCTAGGGGAAGGAAGGCAGGGTAGGGGTCATCCTTGAAAAGGCTGGAGGGAGGGGGTAAAGGAGGTTTTGTAGATGAGGGGCTTGGACTTCCAGCAAGCGTGCATGAGCGTGTTAGATAGGAGTGCATGGAGACGAATGGTTTTTGGGACCTGATGAGCTGTTGGAGTGTGAGCAGGGTAATATTTAGTGAAGGGATTCAGGGAAACTGGTTATTTTTATATAGCCGTACTTACGTTCTGGAAATGGGAAGTACAATGCCTGCACTTTAAAGGAGGGGTTTGGGATATTGGCAGTTTGGAGGGATGTGTAATAGGACGGTATATATATAATTGGGGCCCTGATGTTATATTCTATATGGAGTTTATTATATTATTTCAGGTCACTTTTTGTATTGTATCTTTATATATGCTTCTAAGTTGTTGTAACTGGGTTCCTCTGCAAAAGCAGTGATGGTAATAAAGTTGGTAGAATTACCGACAATATGTAAAGTAAAAGGACACAAGTGCAACTAATGTGACATTTATTGTGGCAACGTTTCGCTCTCCAGGAGCTTTATCAAGCCATTACGTAATGGCTTGATAAAGCTCCTGGAGAGCGAAACGTTGCCACAATAAATGTCACATTAGTTGCACTTGTGTCCTTTTACTTTACAAAAGCAGTGATTATGTATGAGTGAGGTGAAAGTGTTGAATGATGATGAAAGTATTTTTCTTTTGGGGATTTTCTTTCTTTTTGGGTCACCCTGCCTAGGTGGGAGACGGCCGACTTGTTGAAAAAAAAAAAAAAACATCAGCTTCCACTACAGTTCATTAATTTCCAACTTCAAGTAAATTTTCCACATTTTTATTACTTGCCTTTGTAACAGTAGCACTAATTAATTAAACTTATTATATAACATATCCTTGCCTGAAATATGCATGTATATGTTACCAAAATTCATTTATAATTCTCAAATAGTATTTGTGAATCCTGTCAAAATCTTTTTTAATGTTATGAAGTAGACTCCCAGCAAGGGAATAATATTTGAAAGTCAATCTTGGGCAGAGTCCCTAACAAAAGGTGAATGACACAAATGTATATCTTCCTCATTTGATTAGATATGTAAGGGTAAGACAGGCTTTTACAACAAGCCAGTAGGAATGTGGCTGAAGTCTAAAATTGACCGAAACTACGATAGAAACTTACACTGCCTTTTTTTAAAGCCAATTTTCAACTCTGAATAATGCTGTAGTTAAACCTCATTTATCCAGAAACCAATTATCCTTTGAATCCAAGCTAATTTTCACAAGCAAGTACTTAATTGCAAAATAGAAACCATCAATATACCAACATAAAAAAAAAATTCAAAAAGCTTCAAAAATTTTCATTCTCCTAAGTCTTTATTAAGTCTACATAAACTCCTATATTTTCTAGATCTTCCATCCCTAAAAGATACATCTACAAGCACACCAATGCTTGTAACCTCCTTTAGCGTTCAGCTCTATATTTATGTAAATAATGTTACTGTACTCTACATACATACTAAATTTTAAAAAAACTGAATTAGAAAATAATTGTGTATGGGGTGGAATACAGTACTCTACTCTACTGGCAAACCCAACTAATGTCATACAACAGTGAAATGCGCTGCATACACAAATCCCATGCGAAAAAGCCAAGAAATATAAATCAGTGCTATATAAACCTAACTTTCCACAATAAGAGCAGGATTGGGTTCTAAATTAATGCACAATTGTACAAAATTCATTGCAAAAAAAAAAAAACAGAGTATACATAATAGTTTACTAAAACATGTTAAGTCACTTTCTTTAACAGGATGAGAGAGTTGGAAAGTAAGAGATGAAAGGGATGGAAGGGAAAGAGGAGACAGTGGTACTACATATACCTGTACAGTATGTATCATAGATGCATCTTGCAAACTAAGTTCATGACTGTACAAATAAATGTCATCCAATTTTATAAAAACTATGTACCTTGTGGAAACAAATTTATTATTACTGAAATTAGAATACAGTATTCTATAAAACTGTTTCCAGATTGCATTTACAGACTCACATAATAACTGAATGACAGCTTCATTTCCTTCCTCTAAAACTCTTTTTCCCTCCAATATTGGATTTACTCCAGCCTGATAACATCCCCTGTCATCTATAATACACTCCTGAAATAAAAGCAACATTTTTTTAACTGCAAAAAAGTTTAAACATTTTCCAAAAAAAATTACATCTTCATTAGTAAGTTTTAAATACAATCTTCAATATTTATACTTGTTACTTCAAGCTAATATTGTTTACTAAGGATGAAATGGGTATCATGAAAATCATTTATCCAGATATTATTGGCTTTCCACTTTATAACTCTCACAGATATAGTATACCAAACAGAAATACAATCTTTATACACACAAAATAAAAAAATAGTAAAAGGAATTTTTTTTTCTGGAACCCATCTGTCATTAACAGATGATTACCTGGACTCTATATGTAATACAGTATAGTGTAACCTCGGCTTATGAATTTAATCCATTCCATAACCTTGTTTGTATCCTTATTTGTTAGTATGCTGAGTCAATTTTCCTCACTGAAATTAATAAAATGGCATTAATCCGTTCCAGCGGAATTCCTGCTCTCAGGAAGCACAAAATACTTCAATATGACACTAACATCAACTCTACAGCTTATTTATCTATCACAATTCATCTAATTTCACCATCACTCAAGGAATGCACAAAAGGTGCATCATTGTCAGTGTTCTGCATTTCTTCAATGTCACCTTCCTGTAACTCCATTAGCACATAGTCAAGGCGAGTAAATAGAATTGTTGACGCTTATTGCTTGAGTACGTTTATTCTGTTAGTGGGTTGGATTTATGAAGGACCTGCCAAGTATGGGCCAACAGGCTTGCTGCAGTGTTCCTCCTTTCTTATGTTCGTATGTTGATGAATGGAACAGTCTGAATAGTATGGTTATTGAAGCTAAAACCTTGGGTAGCTTCCAATTTGTGTTGGATAAATACATGAGTGAGAGGGGTTGGAAGTGAGTGGGACTTTCACATAAGTAAATAGAATTATCAAAGCTTATTGCTTTGGTAGCACTGAAAATCAAGTTGGGCAAATATTGTTAGTGGGATGGATTGTGAAGGACCTGCCTAGTATGGGCTAGCAGGCCTGTTGCAGTGTATTATTATTAGTAGTATGTATGTATTATAATAATAATAATAATAATAATAATAATAATAATAATAATAATAATAATAATAATAATAATAATAATAATAATAATTTTTTTTTTTTTATTATCACACCGGCCGATTCCCACCAAGGCAGGGTGGCCCGAAAAAGAAAAACTTTCACCATCATTCACTCCATCACTGTCTTGCCAGAAGGGTGCTTTACACTACAGTTTTTAAACTGCAACATTAACACCCCTCCTTCAGAGTGCAGGCACTGTACTTCCCATCTCCAGGACTCAAGTCCGGCCTGCCGGTTTCCCTGAATCCCTTCATAAATGTTACTTTGCTCACACTCCAACAGCACGTCAAGTATTAAAAACCATTTGTCTCCATTCACTCCTATCAAACACGCTCACGCATGCCTGCTGGAAGTCCAAGCCCCTCGCACACAAAACCTCCTTTACCCCCTCCCTCCAACCCTTCCTAGGCCGACCCCTACCCCGCCTTCCTTCCACTACAGACTGATACACTCTTGAAGTCATTCTGTTTCGCTCCATTCTCTCTACATGTCCGAACCACCTCAACAACCCTTCCTCAGCCCTCTGGACAACAGTTTTGGTAATCCCGCACCTCCTCCTAACTTCCAAACTACGAATTCTCTGCATTATATTCACACCACACATTGCCCTCAGACATGACATCTCCACTGCCTCCAGCCTTCTCCTCGCTGCAACATTCATCACCCACGCTTCACACCCATATAAGAGCGTTGGTAAAACTATACTCTCATACATTCCCCTCTTTGCCTCCAAGGACAAAGTTCTTTGTCTCCACAGACTCCTAAGTGCACCACTCACTCTTTTTCCCTCATCAATTCTATGATTCACCTCATCTTTCATAGACCCATCTGCTGACACGTCCACTCCCAAATATCTGAATACGTTCACCTCCTCCATACTCTCTCCCTCCAATCTGATATTCAATCTTTCATCACCTAATCTTTTTGTTATCCTCATAACCTTACTCTTTCCTGTATTCACCTTTAATTTTCTTCTTTTGCACACCCTACCAAATTCATCCACCAATCTCTGCAACTTCTCTTCAGAATCTCCCAAGAGCACAGTGTCATCAGCAAAGAGCAGCTGTGACAACTCCCACTTTGTGTGTGATTCTTTATCTTTTAACTCCACGCCTCTTGCCAAGATCCTCGCATTTACTTCTCTTACAACCCCATCTATAAATATATTAAACAACCACGGTGACATCACACATCCTTGTCTAAGGCCTACTTTTACTGGGAAAAAATTTCCCTCTTTCCTACATACTCTAACTTGAGCCTCACTATCCTCGTAAAAACTCTTCGCTGCTTTCAGTAACCTACCTCCTACACCATACACTTGCAACATCTGCCACATTGCCCCCCTATCCACCCTGTCATACGCCTTTTCCAAATCCATAAATGCCACAAAGACCTCTTTAGCCTTATCTAAATACTGTTCACTTATATGTTTCACTGTAAACACCTGGTCCACACACCCCCTACCTTTCCTAAAGCCTCCTTGTTCATCTGCTATCCTATTCTCCGTCTTACTCTTAATTCTTTCAATTATAACTCTACCATACACTTTACCAGGTACACTCAACAGACTTATCCCCCTATAATTTTTGCACTCTCTTTTATCCCCTTTGCCTTTATACAAAGGAACTATGCATGCTCTCTGCCAATCCCTAGGTACCTTACCTTCTTCCATACATTTATTAAATAATTGCACCAACCACTCCAAAACTATATCCCCACCTGCTTTTAACATTTCTATCTTTATCCCATCAATCCCGGCTGCCTTACCCCCTTTCATTTTACCTACTGCCTCACGAACTTCCCCACACTCACAACTGGCTCTTCCTCACTCCTACAAGATGTTATTCCTCCTTGCCCTATACACGAAATCACAGCTTCCCTATCTTCATCAACATTTAACATTCCTCAAAATATTCCTTCCATCTTCCCAATACCTCTAACTCTCCATTTAATAACTCTCCTCTCCTATTTTTAACTGACAAATCCATTTGTTCTCTAGGCTTTCTTAACTTGTTAATCTCACTCCAAACTTTTTCTTATTTTCAACAAAAATTTGTTGATAACATCTCACCCACTCTCTCATTTGCTCTCTTTTTACATTGCTTCACCACTCTCTTAACTTCTCTCTTTTTCTCCATATACTCTTCCCTCCTTGCATCACTTCTACTTTGTAAAAACTTCTCATATGCTAACTTTTTCTCCCTTACTACTCTCTTTACATCATCAATTCCACCAATCGCTCCTCTTCCCTCCTGCACCCACTTTCCTGTAACCACAAACTTCTGCTGAACACTCTAACACTACATTTTTAAACCTACCCCATACCTCTTCGACCCCATTGCCTATGCTCTCATTAGCCCATCTATCCTCCAATAGCTGTTTATATCTTACCCTAACTGCCTCCTCTTTTAGTTTATAAACCTTCACCTCTCTCTTCCTGATGCTTCTATTCTCCTTGTATCCCATCTACCTTTTACTCTCAGTGTAGCTACAACTAGAACGTGATCTGATATATCTGTGGCCCCTCTATAAACATGTACATCCTGAAGTCTACTCAACAGTCTTTTATCTACCAATACATAATCCAACAAACTACTGTCATTTCGCCCTACATCATATCGTGTATACTTATTTATCCTCTTTTTCTTAAAATATGTATTACCTATAACTAAACCCCTTTCTATACAAAGTTCAATCAAAGGGCTCCCATTTTCATTTACACCTGGCACCCCAAACTTACCTACCACACCCTCTCTAAAAGTTTCTCCTACTTTAGCATTCAAGTCCCCTACCACAATTACTCTCTCACTTGGTTCAAAGGCTCCTATACATTCACTTAACATCTCCCAAAATCTCTCTCTCTCCTCTGCATTCCTCTCTTCTCCAGGTGCATACACGCTTATTATGACCCACTTCTCGCATCCAACCTTTACTTTAATCCACATAATTCTTGAATTTACACATTCATATTCTCTTTTCTCCTTCCATAACTGATCATTTAACATTACTGCTACCCCTTCCTTTGCTCTAACTCTCTCAGATACTCCAGATTTAATCCCATTTATTTCCCCCCACTGAAACTCTCCTACCCCCTTCAGCTTTGTTTCGCTTAGGGCCAGGACATCCAACTTCTTTTCATTTATAACATCAGCAATCATCTGTTTCTTGTCATCCGCACTACATCCACGCACATTTAAGCAACCCAGTTTTATAAAGTTTTTCTTCTTCTCTTTTTTAGTAATTGTATACAGGAGAAGGGGTTACTAGCCCATTGCTCCCGGCATTTTAGTCGCCTCATACGACACGCATGGCTTACGGAGGAAAGATTCTTTTCCACTTCCCCATGGACAATAGAAGAAATAAAAAAGAACAAGAGCTATTTAGAAAAAGGAGAAAAACCTAGATGTATGTATATATATATATACATAATATATATAATAATAATAATATATATATATATATAATAATATATATATAATATATATATAATATATATATAATAATAATAATAATAATAATTATTATTATTATTATTTCTTTCTTTCTTTCAACACACCGGCCATATCCCACCAAGGCGGGGTGGCCCAAAAGGAAAAACGAAAGTTTCTCCTTTTACATTTAGTAATATATACAGGAGAAGGGGTTACTAGCCCCTTGCTTCCGGCATTTTAGTCGCCTCTTACGACACGCATGGCTTACGGAGGAAGAATTCTGTTCCACTTCCCCATGGAGAATTATTATTATTATTAATTTAGGGAGCTGGAGCACAGATCCAATTCCTTAAATCAAAAGCCCCTCACCAAAGAACCTCTCTTGAGGGGGAAGTTTGCATCCTGAAATTTCGTTTGTATCCAGAAGCAAAAAATCAACCAAGCGGCTGTTTGTATCCTAAAAAATTCGCATGGTGGGGCATTCATAAGCCGAGGTTCCACTGTACTTTATTATTTATCTGTACACCTGTATTTTCTTCTTAAATCAACATTAAATTACAAAGTAATAAGGAGTATGAATAAATTTGGATGCTATTATATATGCTTAAGGTGTGCCACAATACTGTGGTAATGCAGAAGAAATTAATTGTATGTGATATCAAATGAAGCCTTGTAACAGCTTCCTACAGACCACTCCTCTCTCTCTCTCTAGGTGGGTGCTACCTCACCCCCCACAAAAATGAATAACGGTAGAAATAATAATGACGACGACGACGACGACGACGACGATGATGGTGATGGTGATGATGGTGATGATGATGATGACGACATAACTGATGAAGCAATGATAACAACAACCAAGGCAGTGGCAACAACAATGACAACAATGATGATGATGATGATGATAAAGATGGCAATGGTAATGGTGATGATAATACGTAATGGTAGTGATGACAATGATAATGCAATTTAGAAACCAGTGATCTTTCTTTTGTCCTTACCACCGGTAGCTTGTGCTCCAGAGCAACAATGAAATCATCATGGCCATGTGCAGGTGCAGTATGAACAAGTCCTGTCCCTTTATTCATTGTAACATGGCTACCTGGGACACATGGACACAGTCGTTCAGCAAGAGGGTGGCGATACTTCAAGGAAGACATTGCTGAACCTTTTAGGAGAGAGCAAATGATAATTTAAACATCAAATAATATTATTACGTATATGGTAATAGCATGCATAATAGTCTTCAGGTAAAATTAAATTTTGTAATAATTTCATTTCAGAGAAAAATTTAATTTTAAATTAAATAAAATGCAATTGGCATACAGCATTTACTTTGTAAAATTTAAAGACATTTTAAAAAATATTCTAATAATATGACAAAACAGAAAAAGAATTACTAAATACAGTGTACCCCTTCTGAAGGACCTAGAAAGGGACCAAAGGAATAATTTGTAAACTGCATAGCATTTTCTCATAGAAGACGATGTTATAAGTTGAAATGGGGACAGGGAAAATAATATTCCATATCTAATTTATATTATTGCTTTTAATTATGACATTTAAAAATTATATGATTATGAGAGATGAATCAACTGTTTAGCCGAGGTATAGCAGTGTTATGCCCCAAATTTATGAGTGCATAACACAAAACAACTATGAAAAAATTATCAAAATACTGAAAGATGTATCACATCAGGTTTTTTGTTATTGTTGGGTTGAAGGGTTTGACAGATCCTCGGATGATTACAGTCGGGTTAATGCACTGTGACAGCACTTACGCTGTCACATATTAATGCAAACTCAAAATTTTACACTTTCAGGGACATAAACAAACTGGGTTAACAAGGCATAACAAGGAAAATGTGATGTAGCAACACTGTTGTCTATCGAGACCAATAGACTAAGTAACAAGCACAGTGTAAGGGTACAGGTGCAGGAATATCACCTGGCTGAAAAATGTCTGAGCCCACACAATACAGCATTTCATCAGCACAATTTATTGGGATAACAAAAGTGTGAAACTTCAGTTTCCATTAATATGTATGAAGGACATATTTTCTACTTACATGTGATAAATAGCTATTTTTGTACATTATTATTATTATTATAAGCATAACTAAGCACTAAAGATATTTTGTACAAACCTTCAAAAGAACAGAGTTGAATAATGTCTTCACCAACAATTTTTTTAAGTTCATGTATTAACTCTTCTGCCCAAATAAGAGCAATTAACTGCTCATTACACTTAACCACTGCCAATGTGTATAGTTTATCTGGTGAGTAGCAGATGGCCTCATTGGTAGGAAGAGTCCAGGGGGTTGTAGTCCATACTGCCACATAGGTGTTTAGATTCTCATATTCTGTTAGCTTATCCTGAAAATAAATTTTCATTCAATCTCTAATACACTTTCAAAAAGTGAACACAGATAAGAGTAAGGTGAAGAGGGTATCAAACAATTTAAATAAAGAAAAATTGGACATCACATTGGAGAGAGGGAGTATAGAAGAAGTGAATGTTTTCAGATATGTATTTGGGAGTTAACTTATCAGCAGATGGGTTTATGAAAGATGAGGTTAACCATAGAATTGATGAAGGAAAAAAGGTTAGTGGTGTGTTGAGTTATCTGTGGAGACAAAAAAATGTTATCCATGGAGGCAAAGAAGGGAATGTACAGAAGTATAGTGGTACCAACACTCTTACATGGTTGTAAATGCTGCGGCGAGGAGGCAGCTGGAGGCAGTGGAGATATCCTGTCTAAGAGCAATGTGTGGTGTAAATACTATGCAGAGAATTCAGAGTGTGGAAATTAGGAGGCGGTGTGGAGTTACTAAAAGTATTATTCAGAGGGCTGAAGAGGGGTTGTTGAGGTGGTTTGGTCATTTAGAAAGAATGGAACAAAGTAGAATGACTTGGAGAGTGTAAAAATCTGTAGGGAAAGGAAGCCTGGGTAAGGGTAGTCCTAGAAAAGGTTGGAGGGAGGGGGTAAAGGAGGTTTTGTGGGCAAGGGGCTTGGATTTCCAGCAAGCATGTGTGAGTGTGTTAGGTAAGAGTGAATGGAGACAAATGGTTTTTGGGACCTGATGAGCTGTTGGAGTGTGAGCAGGGTAATATTTTGTGAAGGGATTCAGGGAAACTGGTTAGCCGGACTTGAGTCCTGGGAATGGGAAGTGCATATAATGCCTGCACTTTGAAGAAGGGGTTTGGGATATTGGCAGTTTGGAGGGACTTCTAAACTGTCATATTTGAGCACCTCTGCAAAGACAGTGATTATGTATGAGTGATGGTGAAAGTGTTGAATGATGATGAAAGTATTTTTTCTTTATTTTTGGGCTCTTTCTTTCTTTTTAGGTCACCCTGCCTCGGTGGGAAACTGCTAATGCGTTAAAAAAAAATTATATAACCATGAAAAACAGTTACAGATACAACTAGTATGACTTATGGCTAGTTAATCTGACTGACTTCACTGCCATAAATCTTGGTCATGTAATTAAACAGAATATTATAAATTATGAAAGGGGAAAACTCCGCTTTATATACAGTACAAAAAACTAGTTTTAATGAACAGCAAGGTATATTTAATGTTTTTTTTTCTTAACACGTCGGATGTTTCCCACTGAGGCAGAGTGACCCAAAAAAAAAAAAAAAAAAAACTTCATCATTCAACACTTTCACCATCACTCATACATAATCATTGTCTTTGCAAAGGGGCTCAGATATGACAGTTTAGATGTCCCTCCAAACTGCCAATATCCCAAACCCCTCCTCTGAAGTGCAGGCATTGTACTTCCCATTTCCAGGACACAAGTCTGGCTAACAGGTTTCCCTGAATCCCTTCACAAAATATTACTCTGCTCTCATTCCAACAGCTCGTTAGGTCCCAAAAACCATTCGTCTCCATTCACTCCTAATATGCTCATGCACACTTGCTGGAAGCCCAAGCCCCTCACCGACAAAACCCTCCTTAACTCCCTCCCTCCAACCTTTTCAAGGACGACCCCTATCCCGCCTTCCTTGTCCTATTTATTTATTTATTTATTTATTTATTTATTTAGTAATTTGAGCATACATACAGAGGTACAAAAAAATACAGGTAAGAGCAGCATGCCAAAGTCACTTGTATGCATAGCATTACGGGCTGGCTTAAAATTAACTAAAGATTAACTAAGCAATGATGTAATCAGTGATAAAACATTATTGTAAACAGATAACAATAAAGCACAAATGCGTATTACAAAGACAGGTCATATGGTTGCATGCATTGCTGTACATTCAGTCGAATGGAGTATTCTGTTAGGTAGTGTATTTAAAAAATAACAAAGTTAGATTGGGTCTTAGGTTTAACATTTATGTGATATAATTGTGAGAAACATTTAAGATATACAATTTATAAGGTTCAGTTATTCAGTATTTATTTGGTTTTGGGTGAGTAAGTGATCTTTGAGAAAAGACTTGAATTTATAAACAGGTAGTGTTTCTTTTATATTTACAGGTAATGAATTCCAGATTTTAGGGCCTTTTATGTGCATTGAGTTTTTGCATAGCGTGAGATGGACACGAGGAACATCCAAGAGTGATCTGTGCCTTGTGTTATGGTCATGTGTTCTGTTGAGGTTGGTAAGGAAACGTTTGAGGGGAGGGTTAATATCAGAGTTTAGTGTTCTATGTATGTAATAGGTGCAGTAATAAGTACGGATGTTTTGTATGGTGAGTAGGTTTAGTGTTTTGAATACTGGTGGAGTGTGCTGCCTGTAGTGGGAATTTGTTATCATTCTGACTGCAGCCTTTTGTTGGGTAATTAGTGGTCTGAGATGGTTAATTGTTGTTGAGCCCCATGCACAAATTCCATAGGTGAGATAGGGGTAAATAAGAGAGTGATATAGGGCCAGGAGGGCTGACTGTGGAACATAGTACCGTATCTTCGATAGTATGCCTACAGTCTTGGAAATTTTCTTAGAAATTTGTTGTATATGTGTATGAAATTTGAGTCTATTATCAAGGTGGATTCCTAAGAATTTTCCCTCTGTTAGCTTTGTGATAGGTGATCCATTTATCATTATGTTAAGAGGGACATCTGTAGCTCTGTTACCAAACTGAATGAAGTGGGTTTTGTCAATGTTTAGTGTAAGTTTGTTATCCTCATCCGGGTAGAAAAATTTTCTGTAATTCGGTATTTACAGTATTGGCTAGTGTGACTGGGCGTGGGTGAGAGAAGACGTATGTAGTGTCATCTGCAAATAGTGTGGGTTTGAGTAATTGCAAAGCATTTGGAGGCAATTATGTAAGGAGAAAGAGAAGAGAGCCAAGGTTACTTCCCTGTGGGACCCCAAACGAAATTTGGGTTTTGTGCGGAAGAGTTTTGCCCCATTTGCGTACACATATTGGCTTCTGTTGCTGAGGTATGACTTGAGGTAGTTGAGGGAGTGCCCTTATACCATAGTGTGACAATTTAGGGGAGCAACTCAGGGCCCAACTGTATCAAAAGCTTTACGAAGTCAATGAAAAACCCCAGTGGGACTTCTTTTTTCTCTATTGCAGTGTATATATGTTTCAGCATGTGATAATAGCATCATTAGTATTTTTATTAGGCCTGAATCCAAATTGGCGGGGGTTGAGTATGTTTTGGGAGATGAGGTAGGAGTAGATTCGTTTATGAATTAATTTTCTGAAGATTTTTGAGAGAGGGTGTAAGTTGGATATTGGCCTATAGGTATTCAACTCTGTTTGGTCTCCTCCTTTATGGATCGGGGTGACCCTTGCTATTTTGAGAACTGTAGGGAAGGTGGAGGATTCAATGGATTTGTTAAACAGTGTTGCAATGATTGGTGATAGCACTTGTGACACTTTTTTGTATATAAAGGGTGGTAAGGTATTTAAATGTCCTGCCTTGTTTTTTAGTGCGTTGATAATAAGGGAGACTACAGTTGGGTTAGTCGGAGCTAGGAACAGTGTGTTCAGGTAGTTGCCAGTGAGGTAGTCATTTGGTGGGGCATCTGAGCTTGGGATTTTATTGGGAAGGTTTTGTCCTATAGTGGAAAAGAAATCATTGAGTCTGTTTGCTGTTTCTGTTGGTGGGAGTTGGGGTTCATCTGATTTTGCTAATTTTATTTCGCTATTTCGTGATATCTTTTTTGTTCCTAGAATTTCTGATAGGGTTTTCCAGGTCTTTTTTATATCACCTCGTAAGTTGGATAATCTGTTCTCATAATACAATATTTTTGCCCTTCTTATCAGGCTGGTTAGGATTGACGAGTAACGTTTTGTTTGGTCTCTGGTTATGTGACCCATTCTGTACTGTTTTTCATATCGGTGTTTTGTATTTATGGATTTGAGAATGCTGGGTGTTAGTCAGGGACTGTTCAGTCTCTTAGCTGTCATCTGTTTAGTATATTTTAGGGCAGTACTTGTTATAGAGGTATTGGGTCTTTTTTAGAAAATGATTAATACATTCGTCAATATCTGTATAGATTTCTAGCTCAGTGTGCCAGTCAATGTTTGTTACTGCTGTTGTGAAGTTATTAATGGCTGCCTCATTGTGAAGTCTGAAGGTGACTTTAGTAGTGTCTTGGGGTAATTTATCAAGAGTTGTTATGAGGAAAGTAGGGTAGTGGTCTGTGGTATTATCTGTAATTATGCCTGATTTAAAGGGATATGGTGTTGGTCCAGATGTGGTCAAGTAGGGAAACACTAGTCTCTGTAACTCTTGTAGTTTTGTTACTGTTGGTAGCAACATGCAGTACTCATTGTGTTTGTGAATTCAGTAACATGTGGGTCCTGGTCTTGCAGGAGATTTATATTGAAGTCACCTGAGAGTAGTAAGTGATCTTTGTTCATGCGTGCATCAGTTATCATTCTTCCTAGGTTTTGACTAAATTGGCTAATGTTTGACTGTGGAACTCTGTAGATGTTTATCAATGTGAGAGGTTTTTGTAGGTATTTGGATTTGAATTTAGCTATTATGTATTCCCCATGTTCATCCCTTATGCAAGTATTAGTGATACATTCTAGTTGGTCTGAGTAGTATATAGCTGTGCCACCCCCTTGTTGGTCTGGCCTACAGTTGTGTATGGCTGTGTAACCAGGAATGGCATAGACATCTGTAGTATCAGGCTTTAGCCAGGTTTCAATTAGTGTAATGATGGACATATTGGCATGCAAGGAATTTAGTAATGCTATGAGGTCATCGTAATGCTTGCTTAAAGATATGATATTGTAGTTAAAGACAGTTATGTTGTTGTTGGCTCTGAGAAGTGCCTTTGATTGTTCTGCTGTGTAGTAATTACAGTAACTGTTTGATTCATTTAAGTCATTAAATAAGAGGTTGGTATCAGGATCAATGCTTGTAATCATAAGATTTGCAGTGAATCTATAGTTAGAATTAAGTATGAAACAAAGTAAATAGTCTAAAGCTAAAAAATAGCGCCTGAATTATTTAACAAATGTAAAAATAATGAGCTAAGGTAGTTTTTTTTTTTAAGCTAAAATAAAGGAGACAATATAAAAGGGACTAAAATAATTTGTGGTGAACAAATAAAGTGATGATCAAATAATGGAGCTTGGGAATATGATAGTAGGTAGTACTTTAAAGGTAATTCTTTAAAGTTAGAATTAGGGAAAACAATATAAAAGGGACTAATATAAGTTGTGGTGAACAATAAAATGGTAATCAAATAAATGAGCTTTGGAATATAATGGCAAAATTGTGAACTTATTACACTTTAGCACCTGAATAATATTAAATAAGTTGAGCAGTTTATACGCTCTCCAAGTCATTCTACTTTATTCCATTCTCTCTAAATGATCAAACCACCTCAACACCTCCTCTTCAGCCCACTGACTAATACTTTTATTAACTCCACACCTCCTCCTAATTTCCACACTCCGAATTCTCTGCATAATATTTACACCACACACTGCCCTTAGACAGGACATCTCCACTGCCTCCAGCCACCCCATCTATAAATATGTTAAACAACCATTGTGACATTACACATCCCTGTCCAAGACCTACTTTTACTGGGAAGTAATCTCCCTCTCTCCTACACATCCTAACCTGAGCCTCACTATCTTCATAAAAACTCTTTACAGCATTTAGAAACTTACTATCTATTCCATACACTTGCAACAGCTGCCACATTTCTCCCCTATCCACTTTATCATATGCCTTTTCTAAATTCATAAATGCAATGAAAGCTTCCCTACCTTTATCTATATACTGTTTACATGTATGCTTCGATGTAAACACTTGATCTAAACATTCCCTACCCATTCTAAAGCCTCCTTGCTCATCTGCAATCCTGTTCTGTCACACCTGTAATTCTTTCAATAATAACCCTACTATACACTTTACCTGGTATACTTATTCCCCTATAATTTTTACAATCTCTTTTTTGTCTCCCATTATATATACAGTACAGTATTATATATTGTATATATTAAATTTTATAACATTCAACTCTGAAGGTTGTACACAGATACATAGAAATAATTACCCAGGCATTTAACAAATTTACCTTCATGAAGTGAGGCAGATTACTAACTGGCAAAGCAACATATATTGAAGGGCTGCAATGATGAGGATTATACTCGAGCTCTGCCTCAGCCAAAGAGGTTCCCGAAGAGGGGGAAAAATACACCGGCTTATAGTCCTGAAATTTTTAAAAAAAGTACATTAAGTTACACAGTTTTATCTGGTAGGTACAGGGTGATCCAACTGCAGTTGCCTCACTGATTTTTTTATAGGAAGAATATAACATACTGATGTTTTTAATTTTTTAACACACCAGCCCATCTCCCACCGAGGTACTGAGTTTATAATTTTTTTTTTTTTTTTTTTTTTTTTTCAACAAGTCGGTCGTCTCCCACCGAGGCAGGGTGACTCAAAAAAAAAGAAAATCCCCAAAAAGAAAATACTTTCATCATCATTCAACACTTTCACCACACTCACACATTATCACTGCTTTTGCATAGGTGCTCAGAATATAACAGTTTAGAAGCATATACGTATAGAGATACACAACATATCCCTCCAAACTGCCAATATCCCAAACCCCTCCTTTAAAGTGCAGGCATTGTACTTCCCATTTCCAGGACTCAAGTCCGACTATATGAAAATAACCGGTTTCCCTGAATCCCTTCACTAAATATTACCCTGCTCACACTCCAACAGATCGTCAGGTCCGAAGTATCATTCGTCTCCATTCACTCCTATCTAACACGCTCATGCACGCTTGCTGGAAATCCAAGCCCCTAGCCCACAAAACCTCCTTTACCCCCTCTTTCCAACCCTTTCGAGGACGACCCCTACCCCTCTTTCCTTCCCCTATAGATTTATATGCTTTCCATGTCATTCTACTTTGATCCATTCTCTCTAAATGACCAAACCACCTCAACAACCCCTCTTCTGCCCTCTGACTAATGCTTTTATTAACTCCACACCTTCTCCTAATTTCCACACTCCGAATTTTCTGCATAATATTTACACCACACATTGCCCTTAGACAGGACATCTCCACTGCCTCCAACCGTCTCCTCGCTGCTGCATTTACCACCCAAGCTTCACATCCATATAAGAGTGTTGGTACTACTATACTTTCATACATTCCCTTCTTTGCCTCCATAGATAATGTTTTTTGACTCCACATATACCTCAACGCACCACTCACCTTTTTTCCCTCATCAATTCTATGATTAACCTCATCCTTCATAAATCCATCCGCCGACACGTCAACTTCCAAGTATCTGAAAACATTCACTTCTTCCATACTCCTCCTCCCCAATTTGATATCCAATTTTTCTTTATCTAAATCATTTGATACCCTCATCACCTTACTCTTTTCTATGTTCACTTTCAACTTTCTACCTTTACACACATTCTCAAACTCATCCACTAACCTTTGCAATTTTTCTTTAGAATCTCCCATAAGCACAGTATCATCAGCAAAAAGTAACTGTGTCAATTCCCATTTTGAATTTGATTCCCCATAATTTAATCCCACCCCTCTCCCGAACACCCTAGCATTATAATAACCATACATATTTCATTTTGTTTTTAAGTGAAATACTGACATGGTGGCTCCTGAACACTGAAAGTAAGGAAGAAAATTGTGGCATGGTGGCCTGGTGGCTAAAGCGAGGGTCTGGTTTCGACTCCCAGTGAGGGTAGAAACATTGGGCGTGTTTCCTTACGCTGGTTGTCTACATTCCCCATCAGTAAAATGGGTACATGGGTGTTAGTCAACTGGTGTGGGCTGCATCCTGGGACAAAACTGACCTAATTTGCCTGAAATGCTCTGCATAACAAGCGGCTTTCTATACAGTAGAAGTACATGTATGTCATTGATGTCAGATAGGCCTGTATCCCTTTTACATGTAATTGTAGCAATAAAGATATTATTATTATTATTATTATTATTATTATTATTATTATTATTATTATTATTATTATTATCACACTGGCCGATTCCCACCAAGGAAGGGTGGCCCGAAAAAGAAAAACTTTCACCATCATTCACTCCATCACTGTCTTGCCAGAAGGGTGCTTTACACTACAGTTTTTAAACTGCAACATTAACACCCCTCCTTCAGAGTGCAGGCACTGTACTTCCCATCTCCAGGAATCAAGTCCGGCCTGCCGGTTTCCCTGAACCCCTTCATAAATGTTACTTTGCTCACACTCCAACAGCACATCAAGTATTAAAAACCATTTGTCTCCATTCACTCCTATCAAACACGCTCACGCATGCCTGCTGGAAGTCCAAGCCCCTCGCACACAAAACCTCCTTTATTATTATTATTATTATTATTATTTTTTTTTTTTTCAACAAGTCGGCCGTCTCCCACCGAGGCAGGGTGACCCAAAAAAAAGAAAGAAAATCCCCAAAAAGAAAATACTTTCATCATCATTCAACACTTTCACCACACTCACACATTATCACTGTTTTTGCAGAGGTGCTCAGAATACAACAGTCTAGAAGCATACACATATAAAGATACACAACATATCCCTCCAAACTGCAGTTTGGAGGGATTATTATTATTATTATTATTATTATTATTATTCAGTTATATATGCTCAACATTGGCTTGAAGAGAAAAATCAGATATTCTCTTTATCATACATGCTAACACTTCCTTTTCTCCATAATTAATTTGGGACTCATCACACTGCCTTTGCCTAAAAAAAAACAACAAAAAAAAAAAAAAACAATTTTACTTAGTCTGTAAGTATCCATTACTGTATTATTATATTTTATATTGCATCAAATGTTTCCCACCTCGGTAGGGTGACCTAAAGAAGGAAAATAGATTAACCATCACTCAATCCCTAACTCTCTTTTTTGTACTGTAATTCTGTATATCAATATGGTGTGGTATAGTATATCCTATTAGGGACAACAACCTCCTAGCAAATGTGAGGGTTGTATCCACATTATCACTCATGCAATTCCTGACTAAACCCAGTATGCAATTCATACTAAACCCAACATGGTTTAGTATGAATTACTAAACCCAACAGGGTTTAGTATGAATGACCAGACAACACAATTATCCACAGTGCCATTCTAGTAACTAAAAATGATCTTTTTCTCTTTTTAATTACCAATAAATGATAAATATAAATTCCATAATACAATATTCAGCCTCATCAGTACTTTAAAAACTTTGACACTTTGATGAACAGTATGTAGTATCTTTATTAGTTAGCAGTAAAAAATGTTATGCATAATATGAGCCATGCAAAAATTACTAACATATCTTTTAAAATACAGTAATACCCCGGTTTTCGTCCTTAATCCGTTCCAGAAGGTCGGTCGAAATTCGAAATGGACGAAAACCGAAGTAATATTTCCCATAAGAAATAATGTAAATCCAATTAATCTGTTTCAGACACCCAAAAGTATTAACAAAAAAATACATTACATAGAGAATAACTAGTTTTTCATACAGAAAACAATGAGAAATAAATATAAAGGACTAATGAAATGGATAAGTTAACATTTAAATCACTTTTACCTTTATTGAAGAGTCTTGTTGGCGTATGGAAGACAGCGAGGATGGGAGAGGGAGGAGAGTTTATTGTTTGGAGACAGGACAAAATATTTGAATATGACACTAATATCAACTCTATGGCTTATTTATCAATCACAATTCATTTAATATGACATAATAAACAATATTAACAATATAGAAACATGATATATACTCTAGAATGAATACAATATGTCATTACGTATGTGATTAGTGGTGGCTGCGGAAGCTGCCATTCTCTCTCCTGCTGTGACTACATATCTTCCAATTATTATAAGAGAAAACGGAGTGTTTGTGAGGCTAACTGCACTACATCACAGTTGCATAAGGATAACACTGAAACAATGTACGTAATTTATAAATAAGAAATACTGTATAAAAACATAATATAGAATGTAAAGAAATACAGTGGTTACTGTATCTATACCATAGTACACACTTACCTTGGAGAAAATGCTGGCAGAGGTTTAGGGCAACGTTATGTTGTCAGTGGTCCTATAAACCTCCAACAACATTGGAAGAGTTAGTTTCACGTTGTCCTTTTTCTATCACTTAATTGCTTAACTTACCTGCTACACTCTTAATGCTACACTTTATTGCTGGCTGGCACTATAGCCTTTATCATCTCCTGCTGCTTTAGTATTGTACATATCATAGAATCACCGAATCACTGAAGAATTCTATCATGTTTCTCACCTTCTTTATCAAAGGGCTGGCACTCTGAACTTTCTTTGGCCCCAAGGTGGCTTATTTAGCAGTCGCAAGCACGAAAAACAATGGATTATTACGAAATGTTTCAGATGAATGCACAGAGCAATGTTTATTCAACGATTAACGAAGGCAGACTGAGTCACAAAATGTATGAGCGGTCGCATCCCGCCGGTAGGTGGATGCATCTGATATGGACGATTTCCGAGTGGAGGTACGAAACCCAGGGTAAAATTTCACCCAAAAAAGTGGTCAAAATCCACACCAGATAAAACGCAGGGTACCATTGCATGCATACAGTGGAACCTCGGCTTTCATCAGTAATTCGTTCAAGAAAGTTTGATGAAAACCGAATTCGACAAAAACTGAAGCAATATTTCCCACAAGAAATAATGTAAATCCAATTAATCCGTTCCACACACCCAAAAGTATTAACAAAAAATACATTTTATTGAGAATAACTATAGTTTTACATACAGAAAAGAATGAGAAATAAATATAAATGACTAATGAAATGGATAAATGAACATTTAATATCGCTTGGAACTTTCTTTGGCCCCATGGTGGATTATTTAGCAGTCGCACTCAATAAACAAGCACAAAAAACAATGGATTATTATGAAATGTTTCGGATGAACACACAGGATAATGCTCACTCGACGAGAAAGAAAGCCAGACTGACTAAGAACAGAACGCGTGGGATGCTTTGTGTGGGCACGGGCAGGCGGACACGTTCAATATGGCGGACCAACGAAAACCGAGGTGATGAACGAAAACTGGGACAAAATTTTGACAAAAAATGTCATCAAAAGCCGAATTCGACAAAAACCAGGGCAAACGAAAACCGAGATTCTACTGTACCTATATTCGGTACAGTTTATCAAAACAGCTGTACGTTTTGTAGCTCAAGTGTGGGGTTACCAAAAGTATAATTCAAAGGGCTAAGGGAAAAGGGCCTCTTCAGGTGGTTAGGGCATTTACAAAGGAATGAGTGAAGTAATAATAATAATAATAATAATAATAATAATAATAATACATGTAATAATAAATCTTAATTTCTACAAGTACATGTACAAGGTTTACAGGCCTAACAGACATCAATGACATACTACTATACAGAAAGCCCCTTGCTATGCAGAGCATTTTGAGCAAATTAGGTCAATTCTGTCCCAGGATGCAACCCACATCAATCGACTAACACCTAGGTACCTGTTTAACTGATGGGTGAAGAGGAACAACAGGTGTAAGGCAACACGCCCAATGTTTCCACCCTTGACGGGAATCAAACCACAGATCCTCAGCATGTGAAGCAAGAGCTTTGCCTACCAGGCCAAGGGCCACCTTAAATAGGAAAACTAAACTAAGTCTGGGAAAGAAAGAAAGAGGGGTAAGAGTCAACCATGGAAGGGTTGGAGGGAGAAGGTACAGGAGATTTTCAGTGCAAGAGGCTTTAACATATAACAAGCTTATGTGAGCATGTGAAATCAGAGTGAGTGGAGGTAAGTGTTTTGTTTTTTAACAATGTGCTGTTCGAGTATGAGTAAGATAACATTTAGGAAACAATTCAGAGGAAACTGCTTAGCATGACTTGAGTCCTGAAGTGGGAAGTACAGTGCCTGCATTGCACCATTTAATAATGGTAAAAACTGTGCAAATATCAAAAACAAAAAATCGTCACCTGATAAATGTTGCCACCTTCATATAGGTGAGCGAAGAGGTGCAGCTGCTTATTGACATACTCTGCATCAAAAGTATGGTAGACATTATCCCAATTGGCTAAGAGTCCCCAGCGTTCAAATTCTGCCTGCTGAATCTTTACAGCTTCTTCAGCAAATTTTCTAGCTGAAAAATGTTTACCACTCACTTATACAGATTAGTGCCTCAGGTAACAGTTAACTGTGTTTTATAACTACCTACATATACCAATCAGTTTTGTACAAGGACAGTTAATGTCACTTACCAGCCGCTCTAATTTGAAGAGAATCCTTTTCATTAAATTTTTCTTTGGTGTTTTTCTTTTTTCGATTTTGCTGGAGTGCCTTTAGTTCAATGGGGAGACCATGGCAGTCCCAGCCAGGAATATAATGAACTTTATACCCTCTCAGAAGCTTATGTCGTAAAGTTATGTCCTTGAGAATCTGTGAATACAGTATTAACAAAATATTTGTTTTTATATATGTGAATAGATACCGCATTTATAAACTGAAGGATGATACAAAATTTGCTACATTTTATTTTTAATATAAAAATTATAAACATTATAAAAGTTTTAGCTTACAATAATATTTTGGCTCAAATTATAATTTTTTTTTTCAACATGTTGGCCATCTCCCAGCAAGGCAGGATGACCCAAAATAGAAAAACACTTTCTCCATCATTCACACATAAACAATGTCTTTGCAGAGGTGCCCAGATACAATAGTTTAGATGGTACTTTATTAACCCTTGCAGAAAGATCATAGATCACTAGCAGAGTATGCTCTGAGGAAATCACATTGGTGATCAGGAAGATGACTGTTTAGCTCTAGATGTTTTAGAATATATTAGTGCTGCAGATTTAGAGATAAACAAAAGAAAGCCACAGGGCAATATTCATATTCATGGGGACCTTCTAAACTCCTAGGGGTCATACAGTGCCTCAGGAATGGAAAGTATTCTATTCAGATTTGATCTGAGGAAGTGCAGGATAGATACAATTCCTTAAATCAAAACCCTTTCACTAGCAGCAAGGCAATAGATGGAGGGATAGAGACACCATTTGTTTGTTTTTTTATTATTGGAATACTGCAGGTTGAACCACAGTATATTTTCAAGATACAGGTTTAAAAGGGCTAGATGAAAGACAATGCAAAACACAAGTCCCACCAAAACATGAACAAGTACAGAAGCACTTCCTTAATGAAGAATTACTGCTGTGTGCACTAAGCTTTGTTCACAGACGATATGGTGTACTACTATATGTACCTAACCTTGTTAACAGCATGACCAATATGAGGTCGTCCATTAGCATAGGGAGGACCATCATGCAACACAAACTCCTGCTCTCTCTTCTGCTTTCTCTGCCACTCATAAAGTGAGGAAAAATTTGCTGCCTGTCAAAGAAAATATAAATATTATTACTATGATATTTATATCTTATAATAGTATTAATAGTTCATTAAATTAAAAACAAATCTTCAACAGCATTTAATTAATCAACAGCATTACAGTACATACATGTGAAGGTTTCACTAATATCTGTTTTCATTATATAGTATGCATAATTACAAAATATGTACCATAAGTAATGGCATGACATGCCAAAATAGGGCACAAGTTTTCAGATAATTGTATGACTTATAGGAAAATGTGTCTAACATATCCACTTGTGGCTTGGTAGATGTCCTGTCGCTCTGTTGACAGCACATTCAGCTCATATATTAAGTGTCCATGTTTCGACTCCTGGCATGGGTAGAATCACTTTGTATGTTTCCTTACACCTGCTGTTCCTGTTCACCTAGCAGTAATTTATTTAAATGGTTTGGAAAACCGACAAGTTGATAAATGTGACTCTTGTGCAACATTTGGGTGTCTTTAATCTGGAAACTGAAGAAGCCACAGCCTGACAAAACACTTCAAGATTAAATACCCAAATGTTGCAAAAGTGTCTCAGCATCTCATTTATCACCTAGCAGTAAGTAGGTACCAGGGTGGTTTAGAAAGACACGTAAGCAAATGCTATGACATATTTATTAGAAAACATTTCGGTCCTGGGACCTTGATCAAGGTCCCAGGACCAAAACGTTTTCTAATAAATATGTCATAGTGTTTGCTTACGTGTCTTTCTAAACCAACTTGTCGGTATTTATTACCAAGGTTTATACCAGGTACCAGGGTGCTAGTAGACTGCTGTGGGTCACATCCTGGGGGATAAGATTAAAGGACCCCAATGGAAATAAGACAGACAAACCCTGATGAGGCACTGACTTTACTGGGTTATCCTGGGTTGCTAATAAGTCAGTAAGTTCTTTAGGCACAGTTACACATAAGTAAAATTACCATACATAGTGTAAATTACCTAGGATAACCCAAAAAAGTTAAACAACCAGAATAAGTCATACCTGCTGCACGTGTTGTTCATTGTGCAGCCTCTTGATGCCCTCCACCCGTAAGGGCAAGGTTGTGGAGGGCAGTAATACCGTCGACGAGTATTTATTCCTCTCTGGTGGTGAGTCTGGAGACTTATCTACCACATGACATATACAGGAAGTACACACAAGCCTCTGCTGTACTTTTATGACACTTCTCAAGGTAGTTAAGTGTGAAGATACACACAGTGGCCGCATCTTCGTCTTGGATGGTTATGGTTTGTAAAGGCCACCGGCAACTTATACAAGGACCTCCAATGAAAATAAGTACAAGGACCTCCAATGAAAATAAGTACAAGGACCTCCAATGAAAATAAGTACAAGGACCTCCAATGAAAATAAGTACAAGGACCTCCAATGAAAATAAGTACAAGGACCTCCATTGAAAATAAGTACAAGGACCTCCATTGAAAATAAGTACAAGGACCTCCATTGAAAATAAGTACAAGGACCTACATTGAAAATAATTACAAGGACCTCCATTGAAAATAAGTACAAGGACCTCCATTGAAAATAAGTACAAGGACCCAAATGGAAATAAGTACAAAGAACCCCAATGGAAATAAGTACAAGGACCTCCAATGAAAATAAGTACAAAGACCCCAATGAAAATAAGTACAAGGACTCAAATGGAAAGAAGTACAAAGAACCCCAATGGAAATAAGTACAAAGAACCCCAATGGAAATAAGTACAAGGACCTTCAATGAAAATAAATACAAGGACTTCCAATGAAAATAAGTACAAGGGCCCCAATAGAAATAAGTACAAGGAACCCCAATGGAAATAAGTACAAGGACCCCAATGGAAATAAGTGCAAGGAACCCCAATGGAAATAAGTACAAGGACGTACAATGAAAATAAGTACAAGGAACCGCAATGGAAATAAGTACATAGACCTCCAATGGAAATAAGTACAAGGACCCTAATGGAAATAAGTACGAGACTCAGTGGAAATAAGTACAAGGGCAATATATATATAAGTGGGAGTAATTCAATTCAATTCAATTCAATTCAATTCAAAGTTTATTCTCTATAAGGATTACAATGCTGAGTTTACAGAAATTTGGTTATTGTGTGGTTCACATGTAGTAAAATAGTGATTACAGAGTGTACCACTAGAACGCTTAGCATGGCTAGGCATTTCGGGAAGACTTAGTTTTATTCTTAATTGTAAAATATTACAAATTATGAGGTAAGTTGGTATTATGGCTAAGTGACTAAATACTAGTTTGTGAGTTTAGCAATGTGAATGCTTTTGTTTTGGCACAGTACATAGTTTCAGTATTGGAGTATCACAGGATTCATTATTTTAAGATTGAGATTAATATTTCTGTTTATGGTCAAATGAGTCAGTGAGTGTAAGTGTGAACCACCAGGTGGTATTCGTGTAGTTAGTTGACAGGGTGTATCAGGGAGATAAGATGTTTTCTAATGGTAGTTTTGAAGGTGATGAATGTGTCTGCAGTTCTAGAGTTCTCAGGTAGGGTATTCCAGATTTTAGGGCCTTTGACATACATTGAATTTTTGTAAAGGTTTAGTCGGACACGGGGAATGTCGTAGAGATGTTTGTGTCTGGTGTTATGCCTGTGGGTTCTGTCACAACTATCAAGAAAGCGTTTTAGGTCAAGGTTGATATTAGAGTTTTAAGGCCCTGTAGATGTAGATTGCACAGCAGTAAGTGTGGATGTACTGAACAGGATCATGTTGGTAGGGTACAAGGTACAAGGTTCTGACCAGAGCTTTCGTAAGATGGGGAGGGAAGAGGGTTGGGAAAGGATGGAAATATAGGAAAAGGTTGGGATGGTGGAGGAGGAGGGAAGATAAAGGTAAGTGGCCTGTCCACTGTGGGCGATTTGTGCAGGTGTACTGCAATCAACCAATCAAATTTGTTCTCTATTAAGATTACAGTGCTGGGTTTACATTTTATAGGATATTGTGTGGTTTACATATTATAAAATACTAATTACAGAGAAGGCCACTATCATACCTAGCATGACTAGGCATTTCGGGCAGACTAAGATTAATTCAATACTCTATATTGGTACAGTTTATGGAGCATGTTGATATTAAGTCTAAGTAACTGCATTACAGTTCGTAAATTTCGCATTGTGAATGGTTTTGTCTTGGTATGATACATAGTTTCTATTGAAGCTCCTATATTGGAGTATCTCAGGCAAACTTATGACTAGTTTTAGATTCATTAGGTAATAGTTTTATTACGTATTTCAATGTTTATAGTCAATTGGGTGAGTGTAAGTGTGAATTGTGAAGAATCACAGATATCCCCCCCCCCAGTACCAACAATACCACCAGTCCGATAACATTCTTCTTTGCAAATATACAGGGTCTAAAGCCAGCAATAAACAACAAAATACCTTTCATCCGTGGACTGCTTGCAGAGGCAAAGGCAATGTTCGCGGCTTTCACTGAGACCCACATAAAGGATCACTTGGACAATGAAATATGGATCCCAGGTTACAACCTATACAGATGTGACAGAGTGAACAGGCAAAAGGGGGGGGGTTGGCCTGTACATTGCAGTCACTTGTTTGCACAGAACTGCTTAATGCCTCAAATGACGTAGTGGAAGTTTTAGCAGTAAAGGTCGAGAACCAAAACCTAGTCATTGTGGTAGTCTACAAGCCTCCGGATGCAACATCCCAGCAATTCCAGGAACAGCTGTTAAAAATTGACCACTGTCTGGAAAATCTTCCAGCTCCTGCATCCAACATCTTGCTCCTGGGGGATTTCAACTTAAGGCACCTAAAATGGAGGAATATAGCAAATAATATTGTTGCAGTAATAACACCAGGAGGCAGCTCTGATGAAAACTCACACTCACACGAGCTTTTAAATCTCTGCACAAAATTCAATTTAAACCAGCAAATAATAGAGCCTACTAGACTGGAGAATACACTAGACCTCATATTCACTAACAATGATGATCTGATAAGAAATGTCACCATATCAAAAACAATATACTCAGATCACAACATAATTGAGGTTCAGGCATGTATGCGAGGAGCCCCAGACCGACAAAATGAGACTAGTCACGAGGGAGCATTCACCAAATTCAACTTCAATAACAAAAACATAAAGTGGGACCAAGTAAACCAAGTCCTAACCGATATAAGCTGGGAAGATATACTAAGCAACACAGACCCAAACTTATGCCTAGAACAGATTAACTCGGTGGCACTCGATGTATGCACAAGGCTTATTCCTCTAAGAAAAAGGAGGAGTAGATGTAAAATAGAAAGAGACAGGCGCTCCCTTTACAGGCGACGGAAAAGAATAACAGAGCGGCTAAAAGAGGTCATATCTGAAATGCGCAGGGAGACACTGGTCAGAGAAATAGCAAGCATCGAACTTAAGCTAAAAGAATCCTTTAGGAGTCAGGAATCGCGGGAAGAACTAAAAGCTATAAATGAAATCGAAAGAAACCCAAAGTATTTCTTCTCCTATGCCAAATCAAAATCGAGAACAACGCCCAGTATTGGGCCCCTACTTAAACAAGATGGGTCCTACACAGATGACAGCAAGGAAATGAGTGAGCTACTCAAGTCCCAATATGACTCAGTTTTTAGCAAGCCGCTAACTAGACTGAGAGTCGAAGATCAAAATGAATTTTTTATGAGAGAGCCACAAAATTTGATTAACACAAGCCTATCCGATGTTATCCTGACGCCAAATGACTTCGAACAGGCGATAAATGACATGCCCATGCACTCTGCCCCAGGGCCAGACTCATGGAACTCTGTGTTCATCAAGAACTGCAAGAAGCCCCTATCACGAGCCTTTTCCATCCTATGGAGAGGGAGCATGGACACGGGGGTCGTCCCTCAGTTACTAAAAACAACAGACATAGCCCCACTCCACAAAGGGGGCAGTAAAGCAACAGCAAAGAACTACAGACCAATAGCACTAACATCCCATATCATAAAAATCTTTGAAAGGGTCCTAAGAAGCAAGATCACCACCCATCTAGAAACCCATCAGTTACACAACCCAGGGCAACATGGGTTTAGAACAGGTCGCTCCTGTCTGTCTCAGCTACTGGATCACTACGACAAGGTCCTAAATGCACTAGAAGACAAAAAGAATGCAGATGTAATATATACAGACTTTGCAAAAGCCTTCGACAAGTGTGACCATGGCGTAATAGCGCACAAAATGCGCGCTAAAGGAATAACAGGAAAAGTCGGTCGATGGATCTATAATTTCCTCACTAACAGAACACAGAGAGTAGTCGTCAACAGAGTAAAGTCCGAGGCAGCTACGGTGAAAAGCTCTGTTCCACAAGGCACAGTACTAGCTCCCATCTTGTTCCTCATCCTCATATCCGACATAGACAAGGATGTCAGCCACAGCACCGTGTCTTCCTTTGCAGATGACACCCGAATCTGCATGACAGTGTCTTCCATTGCAGACACTGCAAGGCTCCAGGCGGACATCAACCAAATCTTTCAGTGGGCTGCAGAAAACAATATGAAGTTCAACGATGAGAAATTTCAATTACTCAGATATGGTAAACATGAGGAAATTAAATCTTCATCAGAGTACAAAACAAATTCTGGCCACGAAATAGAGCGAAACACCAACGTCAAAGACCTGGGAGTGATTATGTCGGAGGATCTCACCTTCAAGGACCATAACATTGTATCAATCGCATCTTCTAGAAAAATGACAGGATGGATAATGAGAACCTTCAAAACTAGGGAGGCCAAGCCCATGATGACACTCTTCAGGTCACTTGTTCTATCTAGGCTGGAATATTGCTGCACTCTAAGAGCACCTTTGAAGGCAAGTGAAATTGCCGACCTAGAAAATGTACAGAGAACTTTCACGGCGCGCATAACGGAGATAAAACACCTCAATTACTGGGAGCGCTTGAGGTTTCTAAACCTGTATTCCCTGGAACGCAGGAGGGAGAGATACATGATTATATACACCTGGAAAATCCTAGAGGGACTAGTACCGAACTTGCACACGAAAATCACTCACTACGAAAGCAAAAGACTTGGCAGACGATGCACCATCCCCCCAATGAAAAGCAGGGGTGTCACTAGCACGTTAAGAGACCATACAATAAGTGTCAGGGGCCCGAGACTGTTCAACTGCCTCCCAGCACACATAAGGGGGATTACCAACAGACCCCTGGCAGTCTTCAAGCTGGCACTGGACAAGCACCTAAAGTCAGTTCCTGATCAGCCGGGCTGTGGCTCGTACGTTGGTTTGCGTGCAGCCAGCAGCAACAGCCTGGTTGATCAGGCGCTGATCCACCAGGAGGCCTAGTCACAGACCGGGCCGCGGGGGCGTTGACCCCCGAAACTCTCTCCAGGTAAACTCCAGGTAATATCGAGAGGTCTAGGTTGTTTTTTATGTGTGTATGATACAAGAGATTAGGTGGTTTTCGTGTAGTTAGCTGATGGTGGGGTGTGTCAGGGAGATAAGATGTTTTCTAACGGTAGTTTTGAAAGTGATGATTGTGTCTGCAGTTCTAGTTTTCATGTAGGGTGTTCCAGATTTTAGGACCTTTTATGTACATTGAATTTTTGTATAGATTTAGTCAGACACGGGGAATGTCATAGAGATTTTTGTGTCTGGTGTTATGCCTGTGAGTCCTGTCATAACTATCAAGAAAGTGTTTTAAGTCAGGGTTAATTCTGGAAATTAAGGTTCTGTAAATGTAGGTTGCACAGTAGTAAGTGTGGATGTCCTGTACAGTAAGTTTAGATCTATGAAGCGTGGGGGTGTGTGTTGCCTGGGATTGGATTGCGTGATTATTCTTACTGCGGCTTTTTGTTGGGTTATTATTGGCTTTAGGTGTGTTGCTGCAGTTGATCCCGAAGCACAAATAGCATAGGTGAGGTAGGGATAGATGAGTGAATAGAATAGTGTGAGAAGGGCTGACTGTGACACTTAGTAGCGTATCTTAGAGATGATCCCAGCCGTTTTGGATACTATTTTTGTTATGTGTTGGATATGGGTGCTGAAATTCAGGTTGCTGTCGAGGTGCAGGCCTAGAAATTTGCCCTCATTATGTCTGGCAATAAGAGTGTTGTCGATCTTAATGTTAAGTTCTGCAACACCTGCTCTGTCAGTGTTAAGTGTAAGTTTATTGGCTGTCATCCAAGTAGATAGTTTTAGTAGCTCTCGTTAACAATGGTGTTGAGTGTGGCAAGATTTGGGCGGGAGATGACATAAGTCGTGTCGTCAGCAAATTATTATTATTATAATCAAGGGGGAAGCTCTAAACCCGTAGGATTATACAGCGCCCAGGGGGGGGGGGATGTGGAAGGCATTCAGGCTTAATTCGGGGAACTGGAGCACAGATCCAATTCCCTAAATCAAGAGCCCCTCACCAACATCAAGGAACCTTCCATGAGGGGTGTCGTCAGCAAAGAGAATGGGTTTCAGGTGTTGTGATACGTTGGGAAGATTATTGATGTATAAGAGGAAGAGCAGGGGACCAAGGACACTTCCCTGTGGTACTCCAGTATCAAGTGACCGCGTTGATGAGGTTGTTTTAAATGGTAAGATAAGATAAGATTTCGTTCGGATTTTAACCCCGGAGGGTTAGCCACCCAGGATAACCCAAGAAACTTTCTTGGGTTATCAGTGCGTCATCGAGGACTGTCTAACTTATTTCCATTGGGGTCCTTAATCTTGTCCCCCAGGATGCGACCCACACCAGTCGACTAACACCCAGGTACCTATTTGTTGCTAGGTGAACAGGACAACAGGTGTAAGGAAACGTGTCGAAATGTTTCCACCCGCTGGGAATCGAACCCGGGCCCTCCATGTGTGAAGCGGGAGCTTTAGCCACCAGGCCACCGGGCCTGATACCTATTAGTAAGGTAGGATTTGAAATATGCAAGTGCATGGCCTCTTATACCATAATGGTCAAGTTTGTGGAGTAGGATGCCGTGGTCTACTGTGTCAAAAGCTTTTCTTGGGTCAATAAAAAGTCCTAATGGATATTCCCTGTTTTCCAATACTGTGTAAAGCAGATCTAGCATTTTTACAATTGCATCGTTTGTGCTTTTGTTTTTTTCTGAAGCCAAACTGGTAGGGGTTGAGTATGCTTTGTGCTGTTATAAACGAATTAAATCTCTTGTGCACGAGTTTCTCGAAGATTTTGGATAGCAATGGTAAGTTTGAATATTAAGGGCCGGGAAGGCAGCTAAATTAGGGTCGATTGGACACCTTGGTAGGGTTTACACGGCTCCAACTCTCACAACCTTTAAATACAACAACAACAACGAAGGTGAAAATACATTTCTGTTTTGCATACATACAAAAAAAATACGTAAGTCTTGAGAGCACATAAATGTTATTGGCAGGTAAAATAAAAAAGTACAGTATGTAGATTTAAGTAAAGATAACCCACTGAAGTCTAACAATGTCACACTTGAGAGTATCACAGGCCGTTGGTGAACAGGGACAGCAGGTATAAGGTGACCAAACACACAGGTACCTACTTACTGCTAGGTCAACAGGAACTGGTGTAATAAATGGTTTAAAACCGGCAAGTTGAAGATTGAGACACTTATGCAATATATGGGAATCTTTATTGAAGAAACGTTTCGCCACACAATGGCTTCAGTCCAGTACAGATCAGAAGGGTGTAAGGAGGGGAGGAGTTTGAGGTAAAGATTGAGGCACTTATGCATCATCATGGGATTTTGATACAAAGAATTCTTCAACCTTGTCCAACCTTTGGACGAAGACTTACTTCGACTAGTGGATGGGAACACTATGACCCCCGCCTCCTCCTGCTTCGCCTCACCTGACTACAGTATATAAGCCACTTCTGCGGCCCTTTGCTGTACTTTCTACAAAATTGATGGACTGAACACATCGATTCCAAGCTGAGGGACTGATTACCTCAAACTCCTCCTCTCCTTACACCCTTCTCATTTGTATTGGACTGATGCAGCCATTGTGTGGCGAAACATTTCTTTAATAAAGATTCCCATATGTTGCATAAGTGTCTCAATCAGGAACAGGTGGTGGCTAACACCCAGGTACCTACTTACTCCTAGGTCAACAGGGACAGCAGGTATTGAAGGTGTAAAGTGACTAACACTCAGGTGCCTACTTATTGCTGGATGAACATTTTTATTATTTTAATCATGAGGGAGCGTTAAACCCGTAGGATTATACAGCGCATGTGGGGGGGGGGAGATGGAAGGTATTCAGGCTCAATTCAGGGAACTGGAGCACAGATCCAGTTCCCTAGGTAAAGAGCCCCTCACCAGCATCAAGGAACTTCCCTTGAAGGGTACTAGCTAGGTGAACAGAGGCAGCAGATAAATAACACCCAAGATACCTACTTCCTGCTAGGTGAATATCAAGGTACACCCTTTGAAAAAACGTATAGAAAAATTTTATTTGAATGATTAATCTGGAGGGTTAGCAACCCAGGAAAACCCAAGAAAGACAATGTGGCTTATTTCCTTTGGGTTGTTTTGTTGTCTTCCTTAGAATTCGATGCACAACAGTCAGTTAATACCCAGCTACCTATGTACAAGGTGGACAGGGGCAACACGTGCAAATAAACATGCCAAACATCTCCACCAGACTCGGTGTCAAACCCAGGTCCTTCAGTTATGAACCATATGTACTACCATCGAGTCACAATTGATTGCTTTTGATTTGCCTACCCCTCATGGAAGGTTCCTTGATGTTGGTGAGGGGCTCTTGATTTAGGGAATTGGATCTGTGCTCCAGTTCCCCAAATTAAGCCTGAATGCCTTCCACATCCCCCCTCCCCTGGGCGCTGTATAATCCTACGGGTTTAGCGCTTCCCCCTTGATTATAATAATGATAATAATTGATTTGCCTCTTGTCTTACAGTTGCAGTTCAGTCATTTGAATTGTGATGACTGTGCTTTTCTGATAGCACAGCTGCTGAATGAATAATGGTGAATGTTTCTTCTTTTATGGGGGGTCATCCTCCTTTGATGAAACAGCCAGTGTGTATGAGAACCTAATCCCCACAGATTATAAGGGAGGAACAAATGCACTGTGCAGATAGATTAGGATGCCTCCCTTTCTCAAGCTAATGCTGTAAAACTGTATAATTATACTATTTAAGGGCAGTAGAGAATAGTACAGGTAGAGTTAAAACAAATTAATAACCATTTTCTTTCTTTTTTTTTTTTTTTTTTTTTTTTTAGATGATATGGCACTGTGATTTTCGGAAATTTCAAGTCTTCAAGTTGCAACCTACACTTATCCGCTTGTTAAACTGGTTATTATAACTCCAACATGTTTCGCATCCTTGATTGCATGCGTTATTGCAAATTGCTATGTGGAACAAACCTTCATGTTATGTCAAATCTTGTGGTACGGCAACTTCATGGTGAACCACAGAGGCATAGAAGTCTTGTGCTGATTAAAGGCAAAGAGGCAGCTGAATTCCTTCAGGGTCTTATTACCAATGACATAAATCATCTACAATATGGGGCCAAAAGCATGTATACAATGTTGCTAAATATTCAGGGTAGAGTTCTCTTTGATACTATAGTTTACAGAAGAGATGAAAAGAATTTCATGGTTGAATGTGATAATGATAAATTAAACCAATTAGTGCGACACCTGAGGATGTATAGAGTACGACGTAAAATTGATATAGAATGCATTGATAATGACTATCATATTTGGTGTGTTTTTGATCCTCACTTAAATTTTAAAGATATTACACATGTAAATTTGGAATCATTGTATATGAATCCTAGAGCAGAATCTGAGGTCTTATTACAGGTGTCAGGTGAAGTAGATGATGTCATAGTTACAAGAGATCCAAGAATGAAATATCTGGGACATAGATTGATTGTCCCATCTAAAACTTCTGTTACTGAGATCCTTCCTAGTATTCAACATAGTGAAGGAGGATTCAAGATGCTTCGCTACAGATTAGGAGTAGGTGAAGGTATGGTGGAACTTCCATCTACAAAATGTCTTCCTCTAGAAGCCAATTGTGACTATCTGCATGGCGTTAGTTTCCACAAAGGTTGCTACATTGGTCAAGAACTTACTGCCAGAACTTTTCATACTGGTGTAGTGCGTAAAAGATACATGCCTCTCATATTCTCCCGTGATGTTTCTGATTTACCTTTTGATGCTAGCATAATAAATGAAAAGGGAAAAACTGTGGGGAAAGTACGAGGAAGTAAAGGTGAGCATGGCATTGGACTTCTAAGAATTGATGAGTGTTTGGATGCTAAGGTATTAATGGTGAATGATGTTCCTGTTCATACATTCAAACCAGCTTGGTGGCCGTATGAAGCTTCCAAAGAAAGAAAGAATTAAATCTTATATGCACATTGTACAGTACAGGTTGGCCATCACTAATCCAGCATCATTGGGTCCTGTAGAGTGCCAGATTACGGAGTGGTTAGGTTAAAATACACTTAACCCAAAGCTGATATTTACACTTTACACCCTATTTTTGTCCCATTCCATTGTTCCAGTCTACCAAACTCATAGCTATTTTGCTAGTATTCCTTCTATTCTGTTGAATGAGCACAATAAACTGCCCATTCACCTGTTTCAACTACCCAATAAAGTGGTCAGAAATTGGTAATTTGGCATTTCACACAAATTTCAAAAGATGCCAATTTCAGTAGGGTCCAGAATGAACAATGTAGACATTCCTGGCACTAAAATAGCATTTTCTCTGTTCATTAGTCACATCTCCAGGCCCCTCTTATATTACTCTTGCTCTCCATTACGAATTTTTATTCACGCAAAAAAATAGAAGATTTACTGTTATGCAGTCTACTGCATTATTGTAATAATTGTATAAATAATGTCAACCCATTTGTGACTGCATATTAGACTGGCCAGTTAGACACGTATTGAACGGTGACATCATTTGTTTACTCTTGAACATCGGCAAGAATCAAACATTTCCGCTACTTTGAGCTCAATGTCAAGGTATTTTCATTGTGAAACCAATCAAAATTATATCTATTTCTGTAATATATCTTCCATTCTATCAAATGACACCAAAAAAATGAGAATACAACCATAAAAACCATACAAAAATACACCACAAAGTCGCTGTTGTGCACCATGGTCGCAGTTTTTTTCTCATTATGCACTGCGTGCTGCAGGATTTTTTTTATATAGTGCACACTTACCACACACACCTGTTCTCTCATATGTAGGCCCAAATTTACCAATCACAGCTCATCTGAGTGAGCTGAGCTCATGGCAACCAACAGTGACCTCAAAGCCACTTTATCTTTTATGGACAGTGTACGGTGTACATGCTTTACACAATGAGAAGCATTTCTTTTATTTGTTGGAACCATGGCTAGGGCTAAACGTAAGCAGGTTATAACAATAAATGGAGAAAAAGAAATTGGAATGACTCTTGCAACAAGTAGCGCCACCAAACAGCAGCGGCAGTATGATGTGGCAATCCCGGAAATTTGAAATTATGCTACCCAAAATTAGTGCCAGATTACTGATGGAACCAGATTACTGATTGCCAGATTAGTGATGGCTGACCTGTACCATAATAAGTTGTATAATATTCATTACCAAGACTCTTCTTTACTAGACATAATAATATCTTTAAATTTCCAAGTATTTCAGCAAGATACAAAAAATCTGTTGCTTATATTATCATGAGTAATCATTCAATGTATAGTACAAGAATGAAAGGATATCATGTTCATTATATACCTCAAAGAATCCTAAATTCTTATTACTATACATAAATGAAAATACATTAATTTTATTAAAATATTTTAGATTGAAACTTACTCTGAGGAAACATGACAACTCTAGTACTACAGTGAATTACTGTACAATAATATGAATATAGTCAGAAGCAGGAGTCATGCAGATCCAACATATGTGAACATAATGTTATGTTACTATTAGATCTTTAAGGGAGAAGCAATGTTGTTATTATCATAAGTATGGCATGTGCCAAACCCATAAGGGTTATACAACACTGCAGTAGAAGCAAGTCTCCAGTGGGTGATGTGTTAGGACATGTATGATATAGTATTTCCCTGTGTAACCATAATACATACTATAATTTGAGTACAGTGCTACTAAATCACAGATTTGTTCATAATTTTGAGTACCATATCCTCTGTACCAGTGTGCCTTGTTAATATTCTTGAGGAAACTTTAAATTGTGCATCAAAGAAATGCTCATGTGACTGAATTATTTAACCATTGCATTACTTCTTTTAAGTTAATCTGTTATTCATGTACATACAATTTATTACTGTACTACTACACATTAGCTAACAGAATATTGTCCCAGTGTCTAGACTTTTTATCCTTTTGGTCAACACCCACACAATGGGTATGGGGTGCAAAATAAAACTCAAGGTAAGCTCTAAACCCAAAAGGGTCATATATAGCACTGCATGAACCTAGCAAACTAGTCTTGACAGACTAACCTAATTGCATATCAATTTCATTTACTAATCCAATACCTGTTTCACTTAAGTTGGCAACTGTGGTTTTAAAAGAAGCACAATTAAAATGTAAATAATGATTCATATTTAAGTTTATGCTTCTAAACTGTTGTATTCTGAGCACCTCTGCCAAATCAGTGATTATGTGTGAGTGAGGTGAAAGTGTTGAATGATGATGAAAGTATTTTCTTTTTGGGGATTGCCTTTCTTTTTGGGTGACCCTACCTCGGTGGGAGATGGCTGACTTGTTAAAAAAAAAAAAAATTAAAAGTTGAGCTTAATATACATGTGAATATCAAAATGGTATATATATGTTAGAATTTCATTTTTGTAGCTGTGCTGGGACTGAAAACAGCTCAAATTCATTAGTTTTGTGCTGCTTCAAGCCATTGCCACATATTGGTCTTATGACAACTGCTCCTATTCCTCAGCACACGTACTTTTGAATATTTTAATCCACATTTAATGTGCTCAATTATATGTTTTACTAGCACTCTCTTGCAACTTTAAGGAGCCAGTTCACATAACTCTGTGCACATTGGCTCTACTGGTTCTCTGTGGAATTTGTATTCATGGGGAAGTGTTAGATTTGGAGGGTTTCTCTGTAGAATATGTATATGCTTTTATTATTTCCAGCTAAATAATAATAATGTCTCTGAAAAAAAAAAAAACTATGTAGCATCTACTTCTATAATAAAGGCTCACGAAAAACATATTTGTACTTAAAGATTTGCACTAAAACGTTTTGCAATTAGCGACATAAGTTTTGATTTATTGTTTTCTTGCCCAACAGATCACTGTTGTGAAGCATCTGACAAACTTCTGAGCAGGAAGTTGATAAAAGAAAAAGTGAATTGGTGAATTGTACAAAGAGAACTAAATCTTATATCTAGGAGTACAGTATTCATAGTTATATATTTGTATCTAACTACTACGGTACTATGATACACTTTAACTTAAAAGTGCAGTATAAATGTGAAAAAGACTAGTACAGTATATGAATATTCTTTCCTATCATGGCATACGTAACTGAAGACATGAACTCTAAAAATGAAAAAGGTGGAACCTTTCTTTGCGAAGCCTGTGGTCTGACAGAAACATACCATTATTATGGGTGTAAACCACCATTTCATAAGGGAGTTACTTTTCTAGAAAACTGTTATGTACTGAGAGATCCTTTCCAAAATGGAAGTGGAGGATCCTTCCTACTGTTGGGAGGAGAATGTACATCTTGTAGCCGTGTTGTGTGTCAGGACACTTCCTGCAGTCTCTTCTACACAAAAAGGTTTTGCCTTAACTGTGCAAATGCTAATATTGAAGAGTTCCCTCCAGAAATACATCAGCGAATCAAAAAGGACCTTGCAAGTACTACTAAAATGTATAAAAACTAACTGAAGTGAAATATATACCAGCAATATTTTAACACTTTATTTTGATAATGATAGTGCCAGTATCATTAGCATTGAAATGTCATTACAAGTTTCAGTTTCCTAAGTGTGGACTACTTTCTGTAGTATTGTACTGTATTAGGTTATGACCACTTGCTCAACACAAACACTGTACTTCAAATATGATATGCAAGTACAGAATTTTTTTGTAAGATTCTTTATCTTTTGCATTGTATTATTATAATCAAAACTAAGCACTAAACCTTCTGCATTGTAAAAAGTGATTGTTACAGTTTCAAATATACAGTAACTGAAAGAGATTTCAGGTACCTTGGGATAAATACCCATAGTTTCTCATTATCTATGAACCGTGAGCTACAAACACAGATGAACATGAAGAAAACACCTTAAGTTTGATGGTTGACTTTGTTATATTTCGAATTTTGAATATTTTTTTTTTAATTAAAAGCTAGAAATGGTAATGAATTATTTTGTTAAACCTTCACAACAAATTTTATGGTTGGTGCTATACTAATTAAAAAAAATGATCTAACTTTCGTCTCAAACTACTGAATGAATGACATGAGTTTAGTTTTTTGTAATTTAATATTTTTCTTGAGTTACAGGCTAAGCATTGGACAACATGCCTAATATTTTTATAACATAGGATTTTATATAGCTGGTTGGTTTCAAATCTTTGTAAATTGTAAATAGGAGTTAATCAAGTTTAATCCAAGGGAAAGACAGTTCTAATTCCTTGGATCGAGAGCCATTCAGTAGTATCACAGCATCCTTCTTGAAGGTGTGCTTTCATTACATGTACCACAATATACAATCAAAACAATTCAAGGATCATTTATTGCAATTTAAAACATGTCCTTTAATTCATTCGGTCACATAGCAAATGCTTAACATATTAAATTTTTGGAACAAGGTATATCCATAAAGTCAAAAAATGCTGTACGGCAACACATTATTCATGAAAAGTGCTAAACCCATAAGGGTCATGCAGCACTGTAAGCAGCAGGGAGAGAATAGGGAGGTGGCATTGAGAAACAACAAAACAGACAGTGACTACAGTCAATAAACCAAAATGACTATCAAAAAATCAGTGTCTGCAGCAAAAGTAGAACTATCAGAGGAGGGCAGAAAAAGCAAGTACTGCTATCAGGGCTTCAGAGAAGTGTCTGAAATGAAGTTGGCATATTTTCCTGTTAATTATTATAACCATGGGGAAGCGCTAAACCTGTAGGATTATACAGCGCCTGGGGGGGGGGGGGGGATTGGAAGGTATTCAGGTTTAATTCAGGGAACGAGCACAGATCCAACTCCCTAGATAAAGAGCCCCTCACCAGCATCAAGGAACCTCCCTTGAGGGGTTCTCCTGTCAAGACATGTTCAAGTATAAAGACTAATAATCCTTGGAATAGTCGTGCGCCTCTCAACAAGATGAAACGCATAGCTCTGCCAATATTACCCACAAGCAGTAGTGATAAAGGGAGGATGGCCAAAATCCTAATTAGTTTGATGGTTGCTGGATTCTTACTCGGGCACAAGGAAAGTTCAAACCTAACCACTAAAGAGTGACAACACGGAAGAGACAATACATTTACAAAAATTATATGGGTCATTACCTAAAAAGGGAGGTTTCAACACTTATCCATAAAGGACCTGATTAACTGCAAAGAAACATGATAGAAACAGCTACTAGTCTAATTACTGTGTTTCAGGTCACATCTTATTAAGCCCCCCCCCCCCCCACCCCCTTTTTTTTACACGCTGGCAGTCTCCCACCAAAGTAGGGGACCCGAAAAAAAAAAAAAAAAAATCACAACCATTCACATTATCGCTGTCTTGCCAGAGGCATGCAGATGACAGTTTAGATGTCCCCCAAACAGCAAATATCCCAAACTCCTCTTTTGGAGTGTAAGCATTATACTTCCCCACATCCAGGACTCGAGTCCAGCTGACCAGTTTCCCTGAATCCCTTCACAAAATATTACCCTGCTCACACTCCCAAAAATCTTTGTCTCCACTAACATGTTCACAAATGCCTGTTATATGCACAAGCCCCTTGTACACAAAACCTCCTTTACCCCCTCCCTCCAGCCTTTCCAAGGATAACCCCTACCCCACCTTCCCTCCACTACATATTTATACACCTTCCAAGTCATCTTACTTTGCCCCATCCTCTCCAACGACCAAATCACCTCAACAATCCCTCCTCAGCCCTCTGGATATTTTTAATAACTCTACACCTCTTAATCTCCAAACTATGAATTCTCTGCATAATATCTGCACCACACACAGTTTATAATTTTTTTGCTGATGCACTTACAATAAATTAAACAAGATCCATGTATCTGACCAATGATTTAATGATGAATAACAAAAACAATTCAGTCACACTAAGAACCACGTATATAGAAATAACATAAGGCAATTAATTATTAAGTTTTAAAATAATCTAAAGAAAATTCAGAACAATGTAGTGATGTAATAGCTTTCTGCAAATTATGAATAATATAGAGCCACCAATGAATTTTGCAATCAGTATGTACCATACATAAATTATATATGAGTACATGCTGTACTTGATTTAACATGGTCAATCTCTTATGGTAAATTTATTTTCAGGCTGATACACTGATTTAATATGGTCGATTCCATGGAATAAATTTATTTTCAGACTAATGCATTAATGACAGTAAAATTTCAGTGTTGACAGATGGTAAGTGACTGTGCAATAAAAATTTGGTACAACAGTCAAGAGGCACATCAAGAAATACAATATCAATTACAGACTGATCTCGATGAAAATTTCATACTTAACAGGATGCTATTTCATTCATTACTATCCAAAGCTGCTGCTCTCTCATTTCCATTACATAAGAGTTACCTATTAAACTCTGGTGGTCACTCCCTTTGTTCAATTTATCAATTTTTACCTACACATATGTGCATGAATGCATGCACCTGCACACGTTACATACATACCCAGCCTCGGTGGGAAACGGCAGAACGTGTTGCTTTTTTAACACGTCGGCCGTTTCCCACCGAGGCTGGGTGACCCAAACAGAAAGAAAAATACTTTCATCATCATTCAACACTTTCACCAGCACTCATATGTAGTGACTGTCTTTGCAGAGGCACCCAGATACGACAGTTCAGATGTCCTCCAAACTGCCAAACATACTCCTTTAAAGTGCAGGCATTGTACTTCCCATTCCATGACTCAAGTCCGGCTAACCGGTTTCCTGAATCCCTTCACAAAATATTACCCTGCTCACACTCAAACAGCTCGTCAGGTCGCAAACACCATTCGTCTCCATTCACCCCTATCTAACACGCTTACATACGCCTGCTGGAAGTCCAAAACCCTCGCCCATAAAACCTTCTTTACCCCCTCCCTCCCTCCAACCTTTTCAGGGCCAGACCCTACCCCACCTTCCTTCCCCCACAGATTCATATGCTCTCCAAGTCATTCTACTTTGTCCCACTCTCTAAATGACCAAACCATCTCAACAGCCCCTCCTCATTCCTCTGACTAATACTTTAGTAACTCCAAACCTCCTAATTTCCACAGTACACACACACATACATGTTATATGTATGTATTAAACAGCCAGAACTTGCCAACTTGGTATGTTGGCAACAATTGTTTTCAAAGAAGCAAAGTACATATAAATTTATGCTTTAATTGCAAGAATCAGTCAGAATATCATAAAAATTATACAAGAGATTTAACTCATGTTAATATTGTACTTACTAAGCTATGCTGACCTTAGATATTTTAGGTAAGATTAAATTACATAACTTTCAGCACAGTTAACCCTAAATAGTCCAAACGTATATATCGTTTTTTCAACAGCTGAAAGTATGTAAAAAAATGTAGATCTTTTTTGTTTTACATTTGAAAACTTGTAAAAAAACTTTTATCTACATTTTTTTTTGTTATATTTGAAAATATGTAAAAAAAAGTAGATCTACTTTTGTAGCACTACAAATTTGAACGTCAATCTCTTTGGACCGTTTAAGGGTTAAATCAGGCTCCAAAGTTAATTTTGGTGAAAACAATAAAACTGCTACCATGTCAATTCAAATGAATGCAACAATTAATGAACATGAAAAAGACAAATTAAAAAAATATTTGACGGCTCTGACTCAAAATTCACAACGTACTCATATATACCCAGTATATATTGTTAATTATGGACAAGGAAATTTAAAACATGCCACTAAATATACAGTTACAAACTTTCAATGGCAATTCAACTCTTGCTTTTGCTGTTTTCTTTTTCTTTTTCTTTGTAGTTTCAACTGCTGCCACCTCCACACATTTCTAATTCATCATTCACTTCTAGATTCTTCTTTTTCTTTTTCTTTGGAACTTCAGCTGGTACCTCTTCCAGCAGTTCTTCACCGCCATTCACCTCTGGCTCTTCCACTTCAGCATTTTCTGCCTTCTTTTTCTTCTTTTTCTTTTTCTTCTCAACAGCATAATTTTCTGCAAGCTAAGACGATTTTTTATTAAATTGTAAATAAAAGGCCCACATTCTTTTATCTGGCTAAAAATTCATACAACAGAAAATGTGCATCAGCAAGCAAATGACATGCCCTTTGTATTTCTTTTTAAATATAGCTTAGTGACTTTAATGCACACAATTACAGGCCAGTTTTCCTTGTTGATCGCCTGTTTAACCAGGAAACCACTACCTGCCCCTACTAGTACCTACTAAACCTAGTACCATTTTACCACAAGACTAGCTCTTGAGCTAAGGGTTATGAGCTATGAGGAGAGGATAAAGAAATTTACCCTAATGACTCTGGAGGATAGAAAGACAAGAGACACGAAATCATATGATATACTCGGGTATTGACAGGGGAGACAAGAATAGGCTTTTGAGAGGCAGGGAAACAGGTACTCGAGGGTACAGCTGGAAGTCGAAGAAACAGACGAATCACAGGAATGTCAGGAATGCCTTGGGGATTAGTGTGGATGGTTACAAAGCATGGCTTGCTTCTGCAGTGTTTTAAAAATTGAGGTTGGAGAGTTGAAGGAGGAGGTCTTGCTTCTCCAGGAGGAGATTAGGAGGCTGAAGGTCCACCTCAATGGGTCTGGGAGAGAGTGTGAGGTGGCTGGAGTTGTGGGGAATGAGGCTTCTAGCAGCGAGGTGCAGTCTGTCTCTCGCTGTGAGGAGGCTGTAGTTGGGGAGGCAGCAACGGCTACCAGCAGTGAGGTGCAGCCCAGCACCTGCTACAAGTGGCGAGTAGTTCACAGTAATGGAAGGCGCATCAGAGTAAGGAAAGTTAAGAGTGAAGATCTGAAGGTAGGAAATCGCTTCTCTCTGTTCTTCAGGATGAATGTACTTCAGTGGCCAGTGAAGGTAAGGGTACTACTGCCCCTGCTAATGGAGGTAAGCGCATTCTTGTGGTTGGTGACTCTCAGGTAAGATACATTGACCGTGCTTTTTGTAATAGGAATAAGAAGATGAGAGATAGAGTGTGCTTCCCTGGAGCTGGTGTTGGGGACATTGTCAACAGGCTGGATAATATCATGTCAGGTAATGGGAGCAAGCCCATTATCTGTCTCAGTGCTGGTGGAAATGATATTGGGAAGGGTAGGAGAGAAAGAGCTGCTAGATAAGTACAGGTCAGCTATAGATTTCATTAAGTCTAAGGGAGGATCCCAATCATATGTAGCATCTGCCTAGAAGGGGAGTAGGAAATGAATGGTTGTCTAGGGCAATTGGTGTAAATTGCTGGCTAGACAGATACTGCAAGGAACTTGCAATCCCATTCATTGACAACTGGAACAACTTTTATGGCAAACATGATATGTATGCAAGGGATGGGGTACATCTCTCTGGGGTGGGGTGGTAGCACTTGCAGACTCGATTGAGAAGGCCATTGGTGAAATGCCTATGATTTTAAACTGATGGAAGATAGAGGTAGGGTGTGTGTGGGAAACAAGCAGGTTGCAACACTTGGGTTGGAAACAGTTAAATGTATAAAAGGCATTCAGCATGAAGTTATAAATAAAGACAATAGATCAGGTCAGCAAACAAAGGGGGACAGCAGAGGGCAGCAAGGGACTAGCTCCCTTAGGTTTACTATACTAATAGCAGGAGTGTAAGAAATAAGATAGATGAGCTAAGATTAATTGCAAGTGCAGAGACATAGATATTATTGCTATAACAGAGACCTGGCTCAATCTGAAAGATAGAGAGATGCCCTCTGAATGTCACATACAAGGCTATAAATTATTCCACACTGACAGGGTCAACAGGAAAGGTGGTGGAGTAGCGATGTATGTCAGAGACAATCTAAATTGTTGTGTTAGACAAGATATTAAATTAGAAGCGTCAGCCACTGAATCTGTTTGGTTACAGCTTCTCGAGGGCCGAGAAAAACTAATTTTGGGTGTGATTTACAGGGCCCCAAATCTTGATAGGGAGTGCAGTAAACTTCTATGGGACGAAATTCGTAAGGCATCTACATACGAAAATGTTGTGCTAATGGGAGATTTCAACTATAGACAGATTGACTGGAGCAATTTGACAGGAAATTTAGAGTCAGGTGACTTTCTTGATACGATCCAGGATTGTTTTTAAAACAGTTTGTGACAGAGCCAACTAGGGAAAATATAACCTCCTTGACTTGGTTCTTGCCAGTAGGGAAACACTAATTAATAATCTTGAGGTTAATGATGAGCTTGGGGAAAGTGATCACAAATCACTCAGTTTTTAATATATCATGGAATTCCCCTAATAATGGCAATCAAGTCTCCGTCCCTGACTTTCGCTTGGCTGATTTCATAGGACTGAAAAATTACTTAGGTGGGCTGAACTGGAATGACCTGACTAAGGGTCAGGTAGGTGGTGATGGTTGCCGATATGATGCTTTCCAGGGCATAGTTCTAGCTGCTCAGTCAAATATGTTCCAAATAGGGAAATCAGATCAAACAAAAATGATCCTAAATGGATGAACAATAGATTAAAATATCTGATTGGTCAAAAGAGAGGCATATATAGGCAAATCAAAAGAGGAGAGGGGCAATTGAGAAATCGATATATTCAGTTAAAGAGAGAAATAAAAAAGGGAATTAGAAAAGCAAAAAGAGATTATGAGGTTAAAGTTGCAAGAGAATCGAAGACTAACCCAAAAGGATTCTTTCAGGTATACAGAAGTAAGATCAGGGACAAGATAGGCCCACTCAAAAGTTCCTCGGGTCAGCTCACTGACAGTGATAAGGAAATGTGTAGAATTTTTAACACATACTTCCTCTCAGTTTTTACACAGGAGGATACCAGCGATATTCCAGTAATGATAAATTATGTAGAACAGGACGATAATAAACTGTGTACTATTAGGGTCACAAGTGACATGGTCCTTAGGCAAATAGATAAATTAAAACCTAACAAATCCCCAGGCCCTGATGAACTGTATGCAAGGGTTCTAAAGGAATGTAAAGAGGAGCTTAGCACACCTTTGTCTAATCTTTTCAACATATCACTACAAACTGGCATGGTGCCAGATAAGTGGAAAATGGCAAATGTGATACCTATTTTCAAAACAGGTGACAGGTCCTTAGCTTCGAACTATAGACCAATAAGCCTAACCTCCATAGTGGGAAATTTATGGAATCAATAATTGCCGAGGCAGTTCGTAGCCACCTTGAAAAGCATAAATTAATCAACGAATCTCAGCATGGTTTTACAAAGGGGCGTTCCTGCCTTACGAATTTATTAACTTTTTTCACTAAGGTATTTGAGGAGGTAGATCATGGTAATGAATATGATATTGTGTATATGGACTTCAGTAAGGCTTTTGACAGGGTCCCACATCAGAGACTATTGAGGAAAAATTAAAGCACATGGAATAGGAGGAGAAATTTTTTCCTGGATAGAGGCATGGTTGACAAATAGGCAGCAGAGAGTTTGCATAAATGGGAGAAATCAGAGTGGGGAAGTGTCACGAGCGGTGTTCCACAGGGGTCAGTGTTGGGCCCCCTGCTGTTCACAATCTACATAAACGACATAGATGAGGGCATAAAGAGCGACATCGGCAAGTTTGCCGATGACACCAAAATAGGCCGTCGAATTCATTCTGACGAGGACATTCGAGCACTCCAGGAAGATTTGAATAGACTGATGCAGTGGTCGGAGAAGTGGCAGATGCAGTTTAATATAGACAAATGCAAAGTTCTAAATGTTGGACAGGACAATAACCATGCCACATATAAACTAAATAATGTAGATCTTAATATTACGGATTGCGAAAAAGATTTAGGAGTTCTGGTTAGCAGTAATCTGAAACCAAGACAACAGTGCATAAGTGTTCGCAATAAAGCTAATAGAATCCTTGGCTTCATATCAAGAAGCATAAATAATAGGAGTCCTCAGGTTGTTCTTCAACTCTATACATCCTTGGTTAGGCCTCATTTAGATTATGCTGCACAGTTTTGGTCACCTTATTACAGAATGGATATAAATTCTCTGGAAAATGTACAAAAGAGGATGACAAAGTTGATCCCATGTATCAGAAACCTTCCCTATGAGGATAGACTAAGGGCCCTGAATCTGCACTCTCTAGAAAGACGTAGAATTAGGGGGATATGATTGAGGTGTATAAATGGAAGACAGGAATAAATAAAGGGGATGTAAATAGTGTGCTGAAAATATCTAGCCTAGACAGGACTCGCAGCAATGGTTTTAAGTTGGAAAAATTCAGATTCAGGAAGGATATAGGAAAGTACTGGTTTGGTAATAGAGTTGTGGATGAGTGGAACAAACTCCCAAGTACCGTTATAGAGGCCAGAACGTTGTGTAGCTTTAAAAATAGGTTGGATAAATACATGAGTGGATGTGGGTGGGTGTGAGTTAGACCTGATAGCTTGTGCTACCAGGTCGGTTGCCGTGTTCCTCCCTTAAGTCAATGTGACCTGACCTGACTAGGTTGGGTGCATTGGCTTAAGCCGGTAGGAGACTTGGACCTGCCTCGCATGGGCCAGTAGGCCTTCTGCAGTGTTCCTTCGTTCTTATGTTCTTATGTTCTTATGTTCTTAAGTATTTCTTCAATCTCAGGGTGGTTGGGAAGTGGAATGACAATGAAGTAGAAGCAGATCTGTACATAGTTTTAAGAATATGAATGATAGGGCCTAAGAGGCTAGGAGAGAGTGAATTTGTTAAGCAGTAAGTTGAGGGGCAGAGGCAGAAGCTAGGACACCACCCCTACAACCCCATGTAGATAAGCATAGGTGAGTATTTCTATGACATGGCAGTACCAATATGTATTTAATTCTTATCACAGCTGACATTTACCTCTGTTGCATTCTCCTCGTTTACGACTGCATCAACAGTTGCTTCCTCTACTGCTTTTTTTTTCTTCTTTTTCTTTTTCTTTGGTGGTTCCTCAGTCACTTCATTGCTAACAGCTTCACCTGAAGCACAATACAATATTTTTATTCAAAAATATGTCGGTAGATGTAGACTATAAATAATCAATAAAAACATTGTATAATGACGTGTAAAATCCTCTGTACAAAAAGTTTCAGGCATTTCAGTTGCCTCTTAAGAGGCGACTAAAATGCTGGGACCAAGGGGCTAGCAACTCCTTTTCCTATACAAATTACTAAATTTAAAGAGAGAAATGTTCGTATTTCTTTTTGGGCCACCCTGCCTTTGTGGGATATGGCCGGTTTGTTGAAAGAATTATTATTATACACATGGCTGAGAAATGCTAAAAACTAGTTAACATGGGGTGATAAATATTAAAAACTAGATGTATTTCTATTGCTGTATGATCTGGAAAAAAGTATCCCCCATATTAGGTTAGAATAATTTTCCTTTTTATAATATTTACACACAAGTAGTTTTTTTTACATTCACTGTTAGTATGTTGGTGGACATCAATGTATGAATTTTTGACAATTCTGCCTTGACTAGGTTGTTTAATATGACGAGACAGACCTCAAGATTAAATTTGTATTAGCAAAAATTATCGGTTAAAGAGGAATAGGAGAGGAGCGAAGTGTGGTGATTTCATGAACATTGATGTTCATTAACAGTGTGGACTAATTTATTTTACAGAAACACACAAACAGAAAATTCCAATTTGATATTTTATGGGCTGCAGTAAGATCTAACAAGGTGTGAAAATGCACCAAGACTATTGCAAACAAAATACTTAATCAGCAATGGCAATTTTTAAAACAAACATTTTAAAATAAACTTACCATCAACAATACTATCATATTTACGCTTCTTTTCCTTGCCTTGTTCCAGTACATTATTGTGTTCAATCATCGCTTCATGCATAACATCAATATTCTTACGTGGTAAGTCTCCAGTCTCATAAAATTTAAGTCGTTCTTCAACTTGGTCACGAAGTTTTTCTCCAAATACCGAGGTCAAATTTTCTGATGGGAAAGATAAGATATAGTAGTTAAATTTTTTAACTTAACTGGAAGGGTTTACTGAAGGATTTTAAATGATTGTGTGAAAATTATTAAATCCAGTAAACAGGTGAGAATGAAAATTTCTAAAGATTCTAAGCAAAAACCTGACTTTTTTATACATACAGTACAGCAAACCCTCAGTTTAACAAGACTAAAAGTATGCCACAAAATCACTGTCAATTTATTAAAAAACAATGGATTGAGTCCATTAGTTAAAGAATTGTTCATTGTTGCAATCATGACAAAACTATCTGATCTCTAATCACCATCATTGCTGTTACTGACCACCTACCCCCCTCCTACCTATTAAGTCCATTTAATGGTGATGAACCCTTGCTCAAATGCTTGATGTGCAGAGAAATGCAACTCACCTGTAAAACAATCAATTCGGGAAGCGATGGAACACTTGTTGGCCAAATAACGAGAAATTCTGCCTTTGTTGGCTGTTGCTGCACGTCCAATGAACGTAGAATGAAAAATTAGACCATATTTCGGAGTGTTGCTTCGGGTCTTGATGGCTCGAAACAGTGCCTTTTCAGCTCCTAGAATCTGTACAGTTGAAGCGGGATACTTTGCTAGGTTAGTCAGTGACCCAGCATGGGAGATAAGGCGGGCACCTACCACCTCTCCAATAAGTACAGACAAATTAGGCGCTACAGATGCCATCTTGCTCCTCAGGTACTCTGCCAACTGTTTACGATATTCTGACAGTGCGACTACACGTTTTGCAAACCGTTCAATATTCATCAAATCAATAGGAGAGATGTCCATTCCTAAAAAGGGAAATACAGAATATTTTTTTAATATTAGTCACTTATTTACCATTTTTTAAAAAGGCATATAAAAGTACACAATTAGTGAAATTCACAATAAATTATAATTAGATATGATTCACATCAGTACATACCACGTGTATGTACACTGGACCACTGGTCAACACATGATTTATTAGCACTTTTTGTGCTAGTGTAGTTGAAAAATTGCAGCACATTTTTTATGAATACGAATATTAATTAATTTACATACATATAGTCGGACTTGAGTCCTGGAAATGGGAAGTACAATGCCTGCACTTTAAAGGAGGGGTTTGGGATATTGGCAGTTTGGAGGGATATGTTGTGTATCTTTATACGTATATGCTTCTAAACTGTTGTATTCTGAGCACCTCTGCAAAAACAGTGATTATGTGTGAGTGTGGTGAAAGTGTTGAATGATGATGAAAGCATTTTCTTTTGGGGATTTTCTTTCTTTTTTGGGTCACCCTGCCTCGGTGGGAGACGGCCAACTTGTTGAAAAAAAAAAAAAAAAACATACATGGTGGAGTCAATGTAGAAGAAAATGTGGCACGTGCCGGGTTCTTTTCTCTCTGCTTTGCAGTGAGTGTATTTGGGAGTCATTGTCCTACTTAACACATACAACCTCCCTAGTTTCATTGCTATGTTCGTATGCATCCAATCCCATACCTCAACCACACGCCTCTGTCATATTGCTTGCTTCCACCCATTCTCAAACAGCCACTATCCAGTAGTACTGTACACACTAAGGCTGTAAATAATCCAATCTCCATTGACTGGTAAGACAACTACATCACTGCAGTTAACAAGAGCATCAGGAAAGATCCAGCCAATGATACCATTCCCATGGAAACGTTTCGCCTGCAAGGGACCTTTACCTATCCAATATAAGCAGAAAAACAGGGAAATACCCAGATGTTAATAGCAGCATAAGTAGGGTTCACAAAATAATTGACATTGCTTAACTGTGTTCTAATGGCCTAAAATCAATTTAGCCAAAACTCTGGAGATACCGAGGCTCCCCATGTTCTACACAACTGTACTGCCAAGACAAATGATTGCAAATTCTAAACAATGGCATTTACATAACTCCTCTTCCTGGTGAGTAAAGTGCTTCCATAACAGAGTTATGTAATGCTGCATGTCTCTATCTCATATATTTGTCAGTATTATATACCTTGTTTATGTTATCTGTTTCATTATTCCAAAAACAAATTTCATCAGTTATGAAGTGTGCTACAATATGTAGATAATACTGTACCATGTAATATAATTTATAACTTACCCATTGACATTCTAGATGCATCTAATATAGCTTGAGCCATTTCAGAATCCATGACAAGCTCCTCCAACTTTTCTAAAGACTCTTCAGAAAGAGTTTTGCGATCTCTGATATAGTTTGCACACAAACTGAATTTATAGTTGTCGGTAACTATTTTGGCAAGTTCTGGAAAGTGATAAGAGTACCATTCCCTGTGAAAAAAAAGCATAAATATAAAAACACTTACATATTAAACTGATTTCTTATTGGCATTTCTGACTGGCATATTAAACTGATTTTTTATTCAAGAAAGTTAAACATATCTATAAGTAAGTTTCCCAAACAACTTTAATCAAGATGCATTATAACAAAATTTCAATTTGAACCAGATGAAACAATACTTATGATAAGTGACAGCAAGTAAGCTTTCCCTGTAGTACATATTTATATATTCAATCAAGACAGAGAATTTTCCTAGGTTTATTTTACAGTATTATCAAACACTGGTGATGTAATAATACATACTTGATACGCATGGCAAATGTGTTTATGTCTTTATCGAGCTGGTCAACCAGAGCAATACTTTGAATAATCATGTTGTCTACTCTGTTGACATTGAATTTCACTTTTCCTCTGGAGTACGAATGACCCAAGCCAAGCTCCGTTTGTTTCATAGAAGCTGGAGTCAGGCCTTTTACAAAATGGTTCAAGTGTGTCCGGATACCACGCACAACCTGGTGGAAATGCAATTCTGTAAAACTCCCATGTCAATAAATTTAACTGATGGTAAAACCAAGTATAATAATAAACTTACATGCAAATTTCACATATCTCAATTATTAATTAAAAATGGTAGTCACATTAACTACAACAGAAATCTGAATGCAAATAAATTTTGAAGTGTAGGCAGAAGAATTCTAATTAACAGTAATAAGATGTTTCAAAAGCAGCTGTCAAATATGGAGTGAAAAAATTTGGTTTCTGAGCCAAAGAAAACTACTAGAAAAAGATTTACACAAAGAGATAACTCTGCATGCATTTATGCCTTAACCCTTTGACTATCGCAAGCCCCTTTCTGAAACTGTCATTCTGTCACAAAATTTTTGGAAAAAAAAAAAAAATCTTATGATAAGAGAATCTTTTCCCGATGGTAATGACACCAAAAGTACAAAATTTGGTCAAAAACTCACGGAATTATGCTCCCGCAAAGTTAGTAGTCTCGGTGACATATACGCATCGGCGATTTCACCGACTTTGAGCCCTGTGTTTGGCCAATTCCATTGTTCCAGTTGACCAAACTCATAACTATTTCTTTAGAACTCCATTTTTTCTATCAGTTGAGTACAAGAAACCACCCATTTACCGATTTGAACTACCCAATAAAGTGGTCAGAAATTGGCAATTTGGCCAATTTCACGCAAATTAAAAAAGATGCCAATTTCAAAATAGGGTCCAGAATAAACAATGTAGATATTCTTGGCAATAAAATAGCATATCCTCTGTTCATTAGTCATGTCTCTAGGCCCCTCTTACATTACTATTGCTTTCTATTTTGATTTTTTATTCACACAAAAAATACAAAATTTACTGTTATGCAGACTAATGCATTATTATAAAAATGGTATAATATCAGTGCACTAGTGAAAGAATATTAGACTCCCCAGTTGACGTGTATTGGACGTGTGGTGTGATTTGCTTACTCCTGAACAGTGGTAAAAATTGAACATTTCTGCTACTTTAAGGTCAATTTCAAGGTCGTTTTCATCGTGAGACTAATCAAAATCATCTCTATTTCTGAAATATGTTTTCCATTTTATCACGTGAGACCATGAAAACGAGAATACAACGATAAATACTATACGAAAATACACCTCAAAGTCAGTGTTTTAATCCAAAAAAACGGTCAGTTTTTTTTCTCATTATGCACTGTGTGCTGCAGGATATTTTTTTATGTGGTGCACACTGACCACACAGACCCTTTCTCTCATATGTGGGCCTACCAGCTTTCTCCTGCTTGATTTGAAGCCGCTAGAATTTATGCATATTAATACGTCCGAAACAGTGGCGCGTAAGACGTACATATACGACCAAAACAGTCAAAGGGTTAATTAAAACAAAATATGCTAAAAATATTGAAATACATTGCAGTACATCATCTTTATATCTTTTAATATGTATAAGTTCTCTCTCCTTACTTCTGGAACAACTCCAATATGTGTGACTGATACCCCCAATTGTTCATTGATGACTGCACCCAATTTAGCATCACTGACTCCTAACTGTATCTCTTTCTTCTTTCCCGGTTTTGGCAAGTTAGCCTCCAAAAAGGCACTCAAATCCTCTGTTAAAAGACCTGAAAGAATAGTGTAACGACAATTACAAAATCAAACTAGATAGGCAGCAGAGTTTGCATAAATGGGGAGAAATCAGAATGGGGGCACATCACAAGCGGTGTTCCACAAGGGTCAGTGTTGGGTCCTTTGTTGTTCAAAATTTACATAAATAACACATGTGAGGGAATAAAAAGTGACATGGGCAAATTTGCTGATGACACCAAAATAGGTGGCCCAATTAATTCTAATGAGGACACTAGAGCACTCCAGGATGATTTGAATAGACTGATGCAGTGGTCGGAAAACTGGCAGATGCAGTTTAATATAGACAAATGCAAAGTTCTAAATGTTAGGCAGGAAAATAACCATTCCACATATAAACTAAATAATGTAGATCTTAATATTACTGATTGCAAAAAGCATTTAGGAGTTCTGGTTAGCAGTAATTTGAAACCAAGACAACAGTGCATAAGTGTTCGCAGTAAAGCTAACAGAATCCTTGACTTCACATCAAGAAGTATAACTAACAGAAGTCCTCAGGTTGTTCTTCACCTTTATATATCTTTGGTTAGGCCTCATTTAGATTATGCTGCATAGTTCTGGTCACCATATTACATAATGGATATAAATGCACTGGAAAACGTACAGAGGAGGATGACAAAGTTGATCCCATTTATCAGAAATCTTCCCTATGAGGATAGACTGAGGACCCTGAATCTGCACTCTTTAGAAAGGCACAGAATTAGGAGGGATATGACTGAGGTATATAAATGGAAAACAGGAATAAATAAAGGGGATGTAAATAATGTGCTACAAATATCTAGCCTAGACAGGACTCGAAGCAATGGTTTTAAGTTGGAAAAATTCAGATTCAGGAAAGATATAGGAAAGCACTGGTCTGGTAATAGAGTTGTGGATGAGTGGAACAAACTCCTGAGTACCATCATAGAAGCTAAGATGTTTAGTTTTAAAAATAGGTTAGATAAATACGTGAGTGGGTGTGGGTGGGCGAGAGTTGGACCTCACTAGCTTGTGCTACTAGGTCAGATGCCGTGCTCCTTCCTTAAGTGAGTGTGATCTGACCTGACTAGGTTAGGGCATTGGCTTAAGCCAGTAGGAGAACTGGACCTGCCTCACATGGGCCAGTAGGCCTGCTGCAGTGTTCCTTCTTTCTTATGTTCTTATATGAATATCTTATCAGGGAAAACTCAAGAGGAAACAGTATTCCAAAATACTACATCCCAGCAAGCCATCATGGGTACCACTCAAAAATCAAGTAAGGCTTGAACACATATAATAAGGCCTGGAATAACAGATTGTACACATTTCAATAGGGGTTGATTTAACAAGGCTCATCTGAATAAATTCAAGTATTAACATAAATATGGATATTGAACAATGATGTTATGGCACTTTTTTTTTTTTTAAACAAAACTGCCGTCTTCCACCGAAATAGGGTGACCTTAAACAAAAAGAAACACATTCACCATCATTCATTTAATCAGTTTTACCAGAAGTGCGCAATTTTTTTTTTTTTTTTTTTACCTTTTAAATGAAGGAAGGTGGGGTAGGGGTCAGCCTAGGGAAGGTTGGAGGGAGGAGATAAAGGAGGTTTTGTGTGTGAGGCACTGGGACTTCTAGCAAGCATGTGTGAGCATGTTAGATAGGAGCAAATGGAGACAAATGGTTTTTAGGACTTGACGTGCTGTTGGAGTGTGAGCAAGAGAACATTTATGAAGGGGGTAGGGGAGTTTCGGTGGGGGGAAATAAATGGGATTAAATCTAGAGTATCTGAGAGGGTTAGAGCTAAGGAAGGGGTAGCAATAATGTTGAAGGATCAGTTATGGAAGGAGGAAAGAGAATATGAATGTTTAATTCAAGGATTATGTGGATTAAAGAAAAGGTTGGATGCAAAAAGTGGGTCATAATAAGTGTGTATGCACCTGGAGAAGAGAGGAATGTAGAGGAGAGAGAGAGATTTTGGAAGATGTTAAGTGAATGTATAGGAACCTTTGAACCAAGTGAGAGTAATTGTGGTAGGGGACCTGAAACTTTTAGAGAGGGTGTGGTAGGTAAGTTTGGGGTGCCAGGTGTAAATGATAATGGGAGCCCTTTGATTGAACTTTGTACAGAAAGGGGTTTAGTTATAGGTAATACATATTTTAAGAAAAAAGAGGATAAATAAGTATACAAGATATGATGTAGAGCAAAATGACAGTAGTTTGTTGGATTATGTATTGGTAGATAAAAGACTGTTGAGTAGACTTCAGGATGCACATGTTTATAGAGGGGCCACAGATATATCAGATCACTTTTTAGTTGTAGCTACACTGAGAGTAAAAGGTAGATGGGATACAAGGAGAATAGAAGCATCAGGGAAGAGAGAGGTGAAGGTTTATCAACTAAAAGAGGAGGCAGTTAGGGTAAGATAAAAACAGCTATTGGAGGATAGATGGGCTAATGAGAGCATAGGTAATGGGGTCGAAGAGGTTTGGGGTAGGTTTAAAAATGTAGTGTTAGAGTGTTCAGCAGAAGTTTGTGGTTACAGGAAAGTGGGTGCGGGAGGGGAGGGGAGCGATTGGTGGAATGATGACGTAAAGAGAGTAGTAAGGGAGAAAAAGTTAGCATATGAGAAGTTTTTACAAAGTAGAAGTGATGCACGGAGGGAAGAGTATATGGAGAAAAAGAGAGAGGTTAAGAGAGTGGTGAAGCAATGTAAAAAGAGAGCAAATGAGAGTGGGTCAGATGTTACCAACAAATTTTGTTGAAAACAAGAAAAAGTTTTGGAGTGAGATTAACAAGTTAAGGAAGCCTAGAGAACAAATGGATTTGTCAGTTAAAAATAGGAGAGGAGAGTTATTAAATGGAGAGTTAGAGGTATTGGGAAGATGGAGGGAATATTTTGAGGAATTGTTAAATGTTGATGAAGATAGGGAAGCTGTGATTTCATGTATAGGGCAAGGAGGAATAACATCTTGTAGGAGTGAGGAAGAGCCAGTTGTGAGTGTGGAGGAAGTTCGTGAGGCAGTAGGTAAAATGAAAGGGGGTGAGGCAGCTGGGATTGATGGGATAAAGATAGAAATGTTAAAAGCAGGCGGGGATATAGTTTTGGAGCGGTTGGTGCTATTGTTTAATAGGTGTATGGAAGAGGGTAAGGTACCTAGGGATTGGCAGTGAGCATGCATAGTTCCTTTGTATAAAGGCAAAGGGGACAAAAGAGAGTGCAAAAATTATAGGGGGATAAGTCTGTTCCAGGGGCGCTGACCCCCGGAACTCTCTCCAGGTAAACTCCAGGTAGAGTTATTATTGAAAGAATTAAGAGTAAGATGGAGAATAGGATAACAGATGAACAAGGAGGCTTTAGGAAAGGTAGGGGGTGTGTGGACCAGGTGTTTACAGTGAAACATATAAGTGAACAGTATTTAGATAAGGCTCAAGAGGTTTTTGTGGCATTTATGGATTTGGAAAAGGCATATGACAGGGTGGATAGGGGGGCAATGTGGCAGATGTATGGTATTGGAGGTAGGTTACTGAAAGCAGTGAAGAGTTTTTACGAGGATAGTGAGGCTCAAGTTAGAGTATGTAGGAAAGAGGGAGATTATTTCCCAGTAAAAGTAGGCCTTTGACAAGGGTGTGTGATGTCACTGTGGTTGTTTAATATATTTATAGATGGGGTTGTAAGAGAAGTAAATGCGAGGGTCTTGGCAAGAGGTGTGGAGTTAAAAGATAAAGAATCACACAAAGTGGGAGTTGTCACAGTTGCTCTTTGCTGATGACACTGTGCTCTTGGGAGATTCTGAAAAGTTGCAGAGGTTGGTGGATGAATTTGGTAGGGTATGTAAAAGAAGAAAATTAAAAGTGAATACAGGAAAGAGTAAGGTTATGAGGATAACAAAAAGATTAGATGATGAAAGATTGGATATCAGATTGGAGGGAGAGAGTGTGGAGGAGGTGAATGTATTCAGATATTTGGGAGTGGACGTGTCAGCGGATGGGTCTATGAAAGATGAGGTGAATCACAGAACTGATGAAGGGAAAAGGGTCAGCGGTGCACTTAGGAGTCTGTGGAGACAAAGAACTTTGTCCTTGGAGGCAAAGAGGGGAATGTATGAGAGTATAGTTTTACCAACGCTCTTATATGGGTGTGGAGCATGGGTGATGAATGTTGCAGCGAGGAGAAAGCTGGAGGCAGTGGAGATGTCATGTCTAAGGGCAATGCGTGGTGTGAATATAATGCAGAGAATTCGTAGTTTGGAAGTTAGGAGGAGGTGCGGGATTGCCAAAACTGTTGTCCAGAGGGCTGAGGAAGGGTTGTTGAGGTGGTTCGGACATGTAGAGAGAATGGAGTGAAACAGAATGACTTCAAGAGGGTATCAGTCTGTAGTGGAAGGAAGGCGGGGTAGGGGTCGGCCTAGGAAAGGTTGGAGGGAGGGGGTAAAGGAGGTTTTGTGTGCGAGGGGCTTGGACTTCCAGCGGGCATGAGTGAGCGTGTTTGATAGGAGTGAATGGAGACAAATGGTTTTTAATACTTGACGTGCTGTTGGAGTGTGAGCAAAGTAACATTTATGAAGGGATTCAGGGAAACCGGCATGCCAGACTCGAGTCCTGGAGATGGGAAGTACAGTGCCTGCACTCTGAAGGAGGGGTGTTAATGTTGCAGTTTAAAAACTGTAGTGTAAAGCACTCTTCTGGCAAGACAGTGATGGAGTGAGTGATGGTGAAGGTTTTTCTTTTTCGGGCCACCCTGCCATGGTGGGAATCGGCCAGTGTGCTAATAAAAAATAAAAATTCAGGGAAACCAGCAGGCCGGCCTTGAGTCCTAGACATGGGAAGTACAGTATCTGCATTCTGAAGGAGGGGTGTTAATGTTGCAGTTTTATAGCTGTAGTGTAAGTGTGCCTCTGGCAAGACACTGATGGAGTGAATGATGATGAAAGTTCTTTTACAGGCCACCTCACCTTAGTGGGAGACAGCCAATGTGTTAATTAAAAAAAAAAAAAAAGAATAGTAAAGTATCTGAAATCTCTGAAGCACTCTTAATATTTTTGTTAATTACATATTCCATTCAGAACGGGAACACTAAACTCCTAAGGGTCATAGCACCTGGGGGAATAGGAGGCATTCAGGTTTGATCCCAGGGAGCATGGGTCCAATTCCTTATATCAAGAGCCTCATGCTGGCGTCAAGGAACCTCCCACGTGACTATTAATTACATAAATGTTCTAATAACAATATGATAATCCAACTACACTTTTTACATTAAATTATTCTAGCAAACAACTTACCTTCAGTAATGGCATTGATATTTTCTAGAGCAGAGGCAGCAGAGGTAAAGGCTTTAAAACCTACCAACTTAACCACCTTTTGAAACTTGGCAGCCTCGGTGGCTGCAGCTTCTACTTCTGGCAGGAATGTTCCTACTTCTTCAAACTCCTTTATGCTAAACAGGCCATAGCCTGAAGCATGCTCAAATAATACGTACAGCTGTAAATAGAAAAACAAAATTTAAAAAATAATGTGCACTTTGAAATTTCGTTTATTGTATGTATATGGATGTATGCACGTGTGAGTATAATGTATGTATATCTCAGTCCACAGCATGAGTCGAACCTGCACATTCTGCATCAAAGTATGAATGAAGGCTGGTACATGACACCAAGCAGATTATCAAGCAGGTATATCACACCAAGTAGAGTAACAGGCTGATACATCACACCAAGTAGAGTAACAGGCTGATACATCACACCAAGTAGAGTAACAGGCTGATACATCACACCAAGTAGAGTAACAGGCTGATACATCACGCCAAGTAGAGTAACAGGTTGATACATCACACCAAGTAGAGTAACAGGCTGATACATCACACCAAGTAGAGTAACAGGCTGATACATCACACCAAGTAGAGTAACAGGTTGATACATCACACCAAGTAGAGTAACAGGTTGATACATCACACCAAGTAGAGTAACTGGTTGATACATCACACCAAGTAGAGTAACAGGTTGATACATCACACCAAGTAGAGTAACTGGTTGATACATCACACCAAGTAGAGTAACAGGCTGATACATCACACCAAGTAGAGTAACAGGTTGATACATCACACCAAGTAGAGTAACAGGCTGATACATCACACCAAGTAGAGTAACAGGTTGATACATCACACCAAGTAGAGTAACTGGTTGATACATCACACCAAATAGAGTAACAGGTTGATACATCACACCAAGTAGAGTAACTGGTTGATACATCACACCAAGTAGAGTAACAGGTTGATACATCACACCAAGTAGAGTAACAGGCTGATACATCACACCAAGTAGAGTAACTGGTTGATACATCACACCAAGTAGAGTAACTGGTTGATACATCACACCAAGTAGAGTAACTGGTTGATACATCACACCAAGTAGAGTAACTGGTTGATACATCACACCAAGTAGAGTAACTGGTTGATACATCACACCAAGTAGAGTAACAGGTTGATACATCACACCAAGTAGAGTAACAGGCTGATACATCACACCAAGTAGAGTAACTGGTTGATACATCACACCAAGTAGAGTAACTGGTTGATACATCACACCAAGTAGAGTAACTGGTTGATACATCACACCAAGTAGAGTAACTGGTTGATACATCACACCAAGTAGAGTAACTGGTTGATACATCACACCAAGTAGAGTAACAGGCTGATACATCACACCAAGTAGAGTAACAGGTTGATACATCACACCAAGTAGAGTAACAGGTTGATACATCACACCAAGTAGAGTAACAGGCTGATACATTACATCCTACACAGCTCAGTGTCATTATACTCAGGTTACATCAACCTTCTTTATCATATTATTACCATTTTTGTAGCACCAGCGTCCCGAAGATCAACGTTTCCATGTGGTGGGTCTCCTCCATAAACATACACAAGCCTGATAAAAACTCAACCGTGATTGGTTGAGAGGCAGCTATGTCTTTGTCATGAACCAATCACAGCACAGTTAATATCTGCCTTGAGCACTAGCAACGTGAGCAGCATCTTGCGCTAAGTTTATAAACTTGACCCCTCAAAGAAACTTCTATAAAATTAAAAAGCATTAGCTTGTTCTTCAGTCACTTGTTATATTTAGTTAGCTGTTACCAAGTAGCGTCATTGATGTGAAAACCCCGGGGAGCTTTAACAGTAGTTTAGACAAGTACGTGGGTGAGTGTGACTTGGACCTGCCTAGCATGGGCCTGCCACAATGCTCCTTCTTTCTTGTTTTCCTATCTTCCCTGGTTTTTCTATCATCTAATGTTGTTAGATTCATTCAGGTGTGGGTTCCATACTGGTGATGCGTACCCCAAGACTGGCCTGACGTATGCTGTATAATGTACCTTGATAGACTTGAGATACAAATACAAATTTTTATTTCCTTGCAAGAGTACATTGAGATTATGTAATTACAATAATGAATTGCAGTGCAAAGAGAGCCACTATCATGCCTTGGCATTATGGACAGACTAAAGTTAATGGCTTACAGACTACTTAATACTAGAGAAGTTGATCATAGTTTAAGTTGTACACAGAATATCATACATAGCAGCATACATGTATGTGTAGGAACCTTGGGTGACCCAAAAATGTCAGAGTGACTTATTTCCATTAGGGTCCTTGTGATAATTATTATTTATATTTAAAAAGTAAAAAAACAGGTAAGTATCTTAACTATGTAAAAAACAACATGGGTTTAGAGCAGGTCGCTCCTGTCTGTCCCAATTACTGGACCACCATGACAAGGTCCTGGATGCTCTAGAAGACAACAAAATACATATGTAGTATACACAGACTTTGCAAAAGCCTTTGACAAGTGTGACCATGGTGTAATAGCGCAGGAATAACAGGAAAAGTTGGTAGATGGATCTACAATTTCCTAACAAATAGAACATAAAGAGGAGTAGTAGTAAACAGAGTAAAGTCTGAGGTGGCTACTGTGAAAAGCTCTGTTCCACAAGGCACAAGGCACAGTACTTACTCCCATCCTGTTCCTCATCCTCATATCTGACATAGACAGAGACGTAAGCCACAGATGTAATATATACAGACTTTGCAAAAGCCTTCGACAAGTGTGACCATGGCGTAATAGCGCACAAAATGCGTGCTAAAGGAATAACAGGAAAAGTCGGTCGATGGATCTATAATTTCCTCACTAACAGAACACAGAGTTTAGTCGTCAACAGAGTAAAGTCCGAGGCAGCTACGGTGAAAAGCTCTGTTCCACAAGGCACAGTACTCGCTCCCATCTTGTTCCTCATCCTCATATCCGACATAGACAAGGATGTCAGCCCAGCACCGTGTCTTCCTTTGCAGATGATACCCGAATCTGCATGACAGTGTCTTCCATTGCAAGACACTGCAAAGCTCCAGGCGGACATCAACCAAATCTTTCAGTGGGCTGCAGAAAACAATATGAAGTTCAACGATGAGAAATTTCAATTACTCAGATATGGTAAACATGAGGAAATTAAATCTTCATCAGAGTAAAACAAATTCTGGCCACAAAATAGAGCGAAACACCAACGTCAAAGACCTGGGAGTGATCATGTCGGAGGATCTCACCTTCAAGGACCATAACATTGTATCATCGAATCTGCTAGAAAAAATGACAGGATGGATAATGAGAACCTTCAAAACTAGGGAGGCCAAGCCATGATGACACTCTTCAGGTCACTTGTTCTATCTAGGCTGGAATATTGCTGCCACAATACAGCACCTTTCAAGGCAGGTGAAATTGCCGACCTAGAAAATGTACAGAGAACTTTCACGGCGCGCATAACGGAGATAAAACACCTCAATTATTGGGAGGCGCTGAGGTTCCTAAACCTGTATTCCCTGGAACGCAGGAGGGAGAGATACATGATTATATACACCTGGAAAATCCTAGAGGGACTAGTACCGAACTTGCACACGAGAATCACTCACTACGAAAGCAAAAGACTTGGCAGACGATGCACCATCCCCCCAATGAAAAGCAGGGGTGTCACTAGCACGTTAAGAGACCATACAATAAGTGTCAGGGGCCCGAGACTGTTCAACTGCCTCCCAGCACACATAAGGGGGATTACCAACAGACCCCTGGCAGTCTTCAAGCTGGCACTGGACAAGCACCTAAAGTCAGTTCCGGATCAGCCGGGCTGTGGCTCGTACGTTGGTTTGCGTGCAGCCAGCAGCAACAGCCTGGTTGATCAAGCTCTGATCCACCAGGAGGCCTGGTCACAGACCGGGCCGCGGGGGCGTTGACCCCCGGAACTCTCTCCAGGTAAACTCCAGGTAAACAGCACCGTGTCTTCCTTTGCAGATGACACCCGAATTTGTGTGACAGTGTCCTCCAATGAAGATACTGCAAGACTCCAGTTAGTTTAATATGTTTATTATGCACCCCATACCCATCCTGTGGGAGGTAGTCAAAAGATTACAGAGGTACATAATTGGTCCAGGGACTGGACTCCAAAGTTTTGATAGCTGAGCAAGTTACAGAGGTAATGAACTCACAATTTACAAAGGTAATGATCTCACAATTTACAAAGGTAATGAACTCCAGGTAGGTCTGGTCACAATCATGATAAGTTACAATACCTTTGTAACAGATTACAGAGGTACGTAATGGATCCAGGGACTAGGCCCCCAAAGTTTTGATAGCTGAACTAGGTACAAAGGTAATGAGCTCACAAGTTACAAAGGTAATGAATTCTGTAAGAATGGTTATTACGTTTATACATGGCTACAATCATGAACAAATTATTCACACTTCACACCCGGTCACAACTGTAATGAGTTATTGGTGCAAATATTGATTGAGTCACACACACACCACACACACACACATACACACACACACACACACACACACACACACACACACACACACACACAACACACACACACACACACACACACACACACACACACACACACACACACACGCACACACACACACACACACACACACCACACACACACACACACACACACACCACACACACACACAAACACACACACACACACACACACACACACAACACACACACACACACACACACAGGAGTTCAGTGGGACAGAGAAATGGTAGGAAAATCAGTAAACGAGATGATGGAATATGTGGCAACAAAGTGCAAGGAGGCAGAGGAAAGTTTTGTTCCCAAGGGAAACAGAAATAATAGGAAGACCAAAACGAGTCCTTGGTTACCCGAAGGTGTAGGGAGGCAAAAAACTAAGTGCAACAGAGAATGGAAAAGGTACAGGAGGCATAGGACCCAGGAAACAAGGAGATTAGTAGAAGAGCCAGAAACGAGTATGCACAGATAAGGAGGGAGGCCCAGCGACAGTATGAAAACGACATAGCATCGAAAGTCAAATCTGACCCGAAACTGCTGTATAGCCACATTAGGAGGAAGACAACAGTCAAGGACCAGATGATAAGGCTGAGGAAAGAAGGTGGAGAACTCACAAGAAACGATCAAGAGGTATGTGAGGAGCTCAACACGAGATTTAAGGAAGTATTTACAGTAGAGACAGGAAGGGACTCTGGGGGGACAGACAGATGGGGACACCAGCAAGGAATACACCAACAAGTGTTGGACGACATACATACAGATGAGGAGGGGGTTAAAGAAACTGCTAAGGGACATCGATACCTCAAAGGCAATGGGACCGGACAACATCTCTCCGGGGGTCCTTAGAGGGGGGAGCAGATATGTTGTGCATGCCACTTACCCCCAATTTCAACACATCCCTGGAAACTGGGCAACTACCTGAGGTATGGAAGACGGCAAATGTAGTTCCCATTTTTAAAAAAGGAGACAGAAAAGAGGCACTAAACTATAGCCCTGTGTCTTGACGTGTATAGTATGCAAAATTATGGAGAAGATTATCAGGAGGGGAGGTGGTGGAGCACCTGGAACGGAACAGGAGTATAAATGCCAACCAGCACGGATTCACGGAAGGCAAATCCTGTGTCAAAAACCCTTCTGGAGTTTTATGATAAAATAACAGAAGAAAGACAAGAGAGAGAGGGGTGGGTTGATTGCATTTTCTTGGACTGCAAGAGGCCTTTGACACAGTTCCTCAAAAGAGATAGTGGCAGAGTTAGAGCATCAGGCGCATATAACAGGAAGGGCACTGCAATGGATCAGAGAATACCTGACAGGGAGGCAACAACGAGTCATGGTACATAATGATGTATCACAGGGGGGCACTGTGACGAGCGGGGTCCCACAGGGGTCGTCCCAGGACCAGTGCTATTTTGGTATATGTGAACGACATGACGGAAGGTTAGACTCAGAAGTGTCCTGTTTGCAGATGATGTGAAGTTAATGAGGAGAATTAAATCTGATGAGGACCAGGCAGGACTTTAAAAGACCTGGACAGACTGGACACCTGGTCCAGCAAATGGCTTCTCGAATTTAATCCTGCAAATGCAAAGTCATTGAAGATAGGGGGAAAGGGCACAGAAGACCCCAGACAGAGTATAGGCTAGGTGGCCAAAGACTGCAAACCTCATTCAAGGAGAAAGATCTTGGGGTGAGTTAACACCGAGCATGTCTCCAGAAGCACACATCAATCAGATAACTGCTGCAGCATATGGGCGCTGGCAAACCTGAGAACAGCATTCCGATACCGTAGTAAGGAATCATTCAAAACACTGTTTCACCGTGTATGTCAGGCCCCTTTCTGGGGGTATGCAGCACCCGTTTGGAACCCGCACTTGATAAAGCCGTCAAAGAAATAGGAAAAAAGTACAAAGGTTTGCGACAAGGTTAGTTCCAGAGCTAAGGGGAATGTCCTATGAAGAAAGATTAAGGGAAATCGGCCTGACCACACTGGAGGACAGGGGGTCAGGGGAGGACATGATAACGACATATAAAATACTGGTGGAATAGACAAGGTGGACAAAGACAGGATGTTCCAGGGAGGGGACACAGAAAAAAAGAGGCCACAATTGGAAGTTGAAGACACA